GCACTCTGCTGTTTTATTGGGTTAGGGTCCCACCCTTATGACCTCATTTAACCATAATTACCTCCTTGAAGGCCTTTATTCCAAATAAAGTCATATTCAAGGTTAGAGCTTCAAATATGAATTTTTTTGGGAGGGGAACACAATTCAGTCCGTAACAATTACATTGTTTTTACTGGCTGTCTATCCCACCAGAATAAAGCTCTAATAGGGTGAAGACACTGTCTTTTTTTTTTTCAGCTCCATATTTTCAGTACCTATCTGTCCTTGGCCCTAGTGGGCTTTCAGGGCATAACTGTGGAATAAATGAATCAAATAATAAATGATTGAATGTTTGAGGCCTGGAAGTGATGCCAACCCAAGTCTATCCGGCTGGCTCACAATTTTCTCATGTTTTTCATTTTTTGAATCCCTCTCTGTATTCCCTGGTTTATGATCAGCAGGACTCTAATGAAAGGGGACATGAGTCCTGATTTAGGAGGACTGCAAGGCCTGTTATCTGTTTCCTCAGAGCATCTTTTCCAAAGGGACCACCTGGCTGTCCAGGAACTGCCGCCAACCTGCATTCATTCTCATTGGAATCCCTGGGCTCATTTGGCAGCCTGAGGACACTGAAAATGAAAGTACTATCTTCAGCAACGACAGAAGTTAAAGGAGAAAGGGGGTAACTGGTTCTTGCAGGGAGAGAAAGGAGGATACCAATTACTTTATGTAGCACTTTGAATAAAGGTGCAGATTTAGTGAAATTTTGCTTTCCGTAAGAGAGAGTTAACAGGCAATCTCTTTAGGTCCAATACCTTTGATACTAATTTTACCAAAGTAAAGATATTACTTCATTGCTTATGGAAAAATGAGTGAATTTTCTTTCCGTAGTCCAGTAAACAGATAATTTTGCTTTTTAAAAAATACACTTCGCTGGTGCCAAGGTAAGTTCAGTTTGTTTCTCTGAGTTCCATTTATGTGCAGGTTTGCCCCTTTGACACTTTCTTGAACCTTCAGCTGCCTGTAGCCTGCTGATGAGTGGGAGATCTTTCAGCTGACTCTCAATGTGGGAATCTTGATTTTCATGCAAAGCCTGATGTTTTGCAAAATGCAGCTTGTTCAGATGCCAGACAGACCTTAAAAAGTGGAGCAATTCACAAAGAGTGCTTTATGCCTACCTTTTGTGGCTGCAGGGCTAGGGATGGTTTTATAACCTGTGTAAATGCTTCAGGTTCAACACATGTCACATCTGATATTAGCAAGGGCTAAAGAAAGCTTTTTGCTCATTTCTTTGACATTAGCAACAAAGTATGTCAAAGAAATGATAAGACCTGATTTTATTAATATTGCTCTGAGGAAAGATATGACTGAAATTGTGTTTCTTCAGAGAAACCATGATGTTAGACACTTTCTCTGTCAGTACTTTAGAACTGGAATGTTTTCAGTTCACGGAGTTGGAGATTGAAATTACAATTCTTGCCCTGACCAGTGTGGCTCAATTTGTTGAGTGTCATCCTGCAAAGTGGAAGGTTGTTGGGTTTATTCCCAGTCAGGGCCCATGCCTAGGTTTGTAGGCCTGGTCCCAGTTGGGGCGCTTATGAGAGGCAACTGATAGATATTTGTAAAAAATATTTTTAAGGTTAAAAAAAAATTTTAAGAAAAGAAAATGCAATTCTTTTCTTGGCCTTAGCAATCAGGAATTTGACTTCAATCGCTGCCCACAAATGGGGGAAATAGAACAGGAGACACAGACACTGTACTCTTGTTAGGGAGAAGCGACATACAGAACCATGCTTGAGGAAGCAGTGTTAAGATAGCAAAAAAGTTGCATAATGTAATGCAGAATCTGAGTGAAAAGAAATACAGATGAAACAAGTCAGTAATTATACCCCTTTTTCTTTCCTAACCATTGTAAAACTGAGAAAAATTTTTTCCTCAAGAACCAAACACTGAAAAATAAGGACTGGTAAGAAACCCATGGAAATTGGGGTAGTTGGGGAAGATTTTATAAGGTGTGGGTAAAAGAGGATGAGGGTTCATGCAGTTATTCAGTAAATATTTGTTGAGTGTCAATTTCATGTGGGGTCTGAGGAGAAACAAAAATGAGATATATTCTTTACTCCAATGAATAAAAGATGAAGGAATTATTTCTTTCATTAAGTCATAAATACAATCTGGATCTAGAAGAATGGCCAATGCACTTGCATTGTTCACCATCACAAAAGGATTATCAAGGAAAGGAGGGTTTGATGGCACTTAACTAGGCCAGAAGTCCCAAGGTGGCAATTTAATCATACCAGTGAATTTCCATTTACCAGGTTGAGAAAAGTGACTGATGTTACATGATAAAAATAATATATGACAAAAAATGCGTATTCTATGTTACCAGGACAAAAATCAATCATTTTCCTCATTTTACAGGGCATTTTGCTGAGCCTTTTGGTGTGGCCTCTTAGGTGAGAGAGGACAAGAGAGAGTGGTTCATGGGGTGGGAGATGTTTCTGTGAACAGAAATCACTATAGTATATTATTTACAAGCATGGACTCTAGAATCTGAATCGATTTAAAGGCTGGTTCAGCCACCTGTGGTTTAATTCAACTCTTTGAGACTCATCTTCCTTATCTGTGAGTTAAAGAGAGTACGCCTTCCTCATAGGGTTGTGACCATAGGGTATCTGAAGTGTTTAGCATAGTGCTTAGTATCGAATAAATGTTCAATAAGTGGCAGATATCAAAAGCAGAGCCTGGGACATCCTGTCACCTGAAATTTGGGGCTGAAATACTTTCTTGGAGGTTTTCCAACAAGTGATTTCTGTCAGCATAGCTTAAGAATATTAATGAGAATGAAAAACTAATCCAGGGGAAAAACAACTTCCAATTATTAACACGTTCTAATCTATGGGATAATATTTGGAGCTGTAGTAGAATTCTTTTTTTTTTTTTTAAAGATTTTATTTAGTTTTAGAGAGAGGGGAAGGGAAGGAGAAAGAGAGGGAAAGAAACATCAATGTGTGGTTGCCTCTTACATGCCCCTCACTAAGGACCTGGCCCACAACCCAGGCATATGCCTTGACTGGGAATCGAACCAACAACCCTTTGGTGTGCAAGCTGGTGCTCAATCTACTGAGCCACACCAACCACAGTAGAATTCTTAAATGAATGAATTAGTTTTATCATTAATTTAGGAGTTAAGGACCACTGGTGACTAACTTGCAAACTAGTATTTTATTGAGGACAGAGAGGCTGTTAGAACCAAACAGAGTTCACTGTTTTTACCTATATTACTGAGTAAATTGAGTACAGATTTTATTTACTGGGTCTTAACTCCTAAGTTGCTGGACTTTCAAGAAAATTTGATTTTTAGTATTATTATATGTTTACAAATTGAAAATTATGTTTCTGCTTCAGGAAAATATACTAGAAGCTACATTTTTGCTTAAACTTAAGGCAAAGCACAATTTAGCCTATCAAAAGGCCCTGGAAAGCAACTGAATAGATTTGAGATACATAATGTAGTATCATGTTTACATATGAGATGTTCAGCACTATTTTAATTTTACAAATGTCTTTGGTAGTTGAGATGGCTACCATTTCCAGTTTTGCTTGATTTATTTGCTTTTTGTGAACACCTTTGTTTCAAATATAAAAAAATACTAAAATGCTTAAAAATATCCAAACTGGTGTAGCGACGAACATTACAAGCTCTGTATTTCATTTATTTATATATATATTTTTTCTTATTTTAAGTTTTGAGACTGTCAGGCCTACCATTGTTTTCTCTAAGTGGTAAAGAGTGTAATTCCAGTCATCTTCTGAATGTAGTATTTTCTAATTGTCAGTGAAGAAAACATGCTCATTCTTCCTAATTGCCATTATTTTCAATAGAGAAGGCCTAACAATACCAGGCTCACAGTGAATGGAGCCATGGCTGATGAAGGTAACCTATTAACCTCTACCCCTAATTCTGACTAGTTAGCTGAGGGTCTGTCCAGAAAGTATCCAGCCATGCACTATGAAAAAGATATATTTATTGAAGATCCAAGATATAAGAAACATTGTACATAGGACAATGATGCCTCAGTCCCCTTTGAAGTAGGCACCTTGGTACCTCACACTGTTCTCTCAGTCATTATCAGCTGCTCTGTTGCATTTTCCTGAATCTCATTGATATTCTGAGATCTCTTCCCTTTCAAAGGTGATTTTAGTTTTGGGAAAAGCCAGAAGTCGCAGGGCGCCAGAGCTGGCTGTAGGGAAGCTCAGTCACCTGGGTAACTGGATGTTTTACCAAAAACTGCACAAGGCATGATGCAAGAGCAGGTGTGCTATCGCGATGAAGCTGCCAATCACCAGGTTACCCATAGCTGAAAATAGTTTCCGTGAGGAATGTTCAAACTTAACGCAAAGTTTGATGTAGATTCATTGCACTACTCACTCAACCATTTTGAATGTGGCATCCACACAGTACACATGTTCACTCAATGGTGTCTACTGCCCCCACTAAGTACAGAGAGTCATTGTTCATGCATATGCCTTCCAGTCTACCTCTCCTTGGCTGCCAGGTTACATCAGTTTTGTGCAAACAGTTCTTGTTGTATTAACAATGGCTGGTTTTTCTGGACAGACCTCGTATACCCAATAACGTTTGTTCTTGATGCTAATATTTAAAGTGACAATTCCATTTTCTGAAAGCGATGGAGGCATTCAGTGAATGCTGTAATGTGGTGAAAGTGAAGAATAACAAAGGCATCCCTATCAACTCCTCTCCACATGTAATGCCCGCCCTTGCCCTCATGCTGTTGTGTTGTTTTATTACATGAAAACTGATTTATGAATGTGTGCACCAGTGTCAATTTACGTATTAAATATTAGTGAAACTTAATTCCTCTTTTGCAGGTGAAAAATTAGTAGAATTTCAAATATTTTCTTCCCACAATTCACTGGATCACTTTGCTTGTACAACCTACTTTGAGACTATTGACATGCAAAATAAAGCACGCCCTTGGGTTTGTAGTGGTCCATGGTATCTCTACCACCCCTGCCAAACAACTGAAAAAAAGAAACTGAGAAATGGATTTCCTTTTTTTCTTTAGTATAAAATTTTTATATTTAGAATTAGCCAGCTGGACTCAGTTTAGATGATCCCAATTTTTTTGGCAACATCTAAAGCATCGTAGTCTGGAGCCAGTCGAACATATGCCTTCTTCTCCCCATCAGGCCTGATCGAAGTGTTGACCTTGGCCACATCAATGTTATACAGCTTTTTCACAGCCTGTTTGATCTGGTGCTTGTTGGTCTTGACATCCACAATGAACACAAGTGTATTATTGTCTTCTATCTTCTTCATGGCTGACTTGGTAGTCAGGGGAACTTGATGATAGGCATAGTGGTCAAGCTTGTTTCTCCTGGGGGAGCTCTTCCGAGGATATTTAGGCTGCCTTCGGAGTGTCTTAGGCCTCTGGAAGGTGGGAGACGTGCGGATCTTCTTTTTTTTGTGGCTGTGGACGCCTTTTAGCACTGCTTTCTTTGCTTTCAAAGCCGTTGCCTTGGCTTCGGCTTTGGGAGGGGCAGGGGCTTCCTTCTTAGCTTTCGGCGCTGTCTTTGTGAAAAGCTGGATTTCCTTTTAAGCCATGTCACCAAGGCAACATATTGAAAACTTTTACCTCAAGAGCTCATTATAACACATAGCATCCATATATATGAAAGATAGCTGTTCCTAGGCTCAAAAGGAAATCAATCACTAGTAAATAAAATTACCCAAGGAGAGCCAGAAAGACTTTAAAGTTAGATTCTAGTATAGCTGATATTTCATTGTCATTTTCAACTCTGATTGCAAATCTCACTCATTCAAAGTTTAAATCATTAAAAAAATTCCCACTTGAGCTAAGGCTTTTTGTTAGATCTTTGGTGGTACTGTGTCAATAATTTGGCCTAATTATATACTAGGAAGTTTAAGCATTGTCAGAAATCAGGTCAGGACTTTATTGACCAGACTGACTAAAAAGAAGAGTTCACCTGGGACTGTACACAAAGCTTCCTATTCAGTTTAGCTGAGATAATTTGTCCTTGTTGCCAAATTCTGCTTAATCAAGGACATAAGGATATAAACTAGAGCTGGCCCATAGGCTCCATCTAGTGGTTATCTTGAAGAAAAGCAGGTAAAGCTAAAAAAAGTTTCATGTCACAATCTTCCTGTAAATATGAGCTATTTATTTCCATGAAACCCTAATCAGGAAGATGAATATGTGTGATATTACCCGTTAAAAGTGAAGTCCTAAGTCAGTGATTCGCAATAATTGAAGAATTTGTTAAAAACAAAGAGAATCCTTGAGGAAGCATATTAAAAATGCAGATTCCTAGGCTCTGCCCTACAGAATCTAATTTAGTAGGTCTGGGATAGCACCCACCTTAATAGTCTCCACTTTGAAAAAGACTTCTCAAAGTGCATTAGACTTACTATAGCGGAGCTATTTCCCCTGTCAGGGTTCAGCTGACTTAGGTATCCAGCAGAATGGCTGCATACTAAAGGTAGCAGCAAACATTTTAGAGATCAAATGAGAGTTCATAGACTACTGATAGGGGATCCAAGATTTAGAAGGGATATGGAGATAGCTGGCCTAGCCCCCCTCAAAGAAGTTGAAGCTACTAGCCAAGACAGAAGGCTTTTTTTAAAAACCTTTTTTATTTTGAAATAATTATGATCTGTATTTTCAAGATTTTCTGAGGTAAACTGTTCTAATACAGTTTAGGTATTTCCCCCCTTATATGAGAAAGCATTTGGCCTAAATATTTTCAGTGTCTGCTAGCACTAACCTTTCACAATTCTAATTCCCTCCTCTCCTATACCTATAATCTAAACATGAGGGTAATTCTATTTGTCTTAATTCATTGATATAACAAATATGATTCTATAATTTATTAAATAAATTTTCATGGCTTTGGTCTCCTATCCTATTAACAGGAGACAAGGGCAGTATTAGAAAATAAACTGACACTTACAGGGAACCTGGAATCAAGTACTGGGGCTAGGCTTTTTTTTTTTTTTTTTTAAAGATTTTATTTATTTTTAGAGAGAGGGAAAGGGAGGGAGAAAGATGGGGAGAGAAATACTGATGTGTGAGAGAAACCGTTGCCTCTCACATTCTCCCAACTGGGGACCTGACCTATGACCCAGTCATGTGTCCTGACCAGGAGTCGAACTAGCAACCTTTCGGTCTGCAGGACAACACCCAACTCACTGAGCCGCACCAGCCAGGTTTTTTATGTACAGTAAAATTAATGCATTGATACAAGCACCTTATGAAGTAAGTAGTCTCTCTACAAAAGAGGGAGGGAGACCCAAAGAGGTTAACTGATCTATCCAGGATCACACAGCTAGTAAGTTAAAGGCAACATCTGGACTTAGGTTTGAATTCAAAGTGCATGTTTTTTCTATATGTGTTGTTTTGTACTAAAATCTACAAATAGTCCTTCAATAGCCAAATTATATTAACCTCTTCTCAAACTAAAATATCTTTGGCAAGAATTAATGAAAAGGAGGAAAAGTTATTTTATGGCTACTTTTCTGATCCTTATTTAGCTATGAATGTCTAAAATACAACAGGAAAAATTTGTGTGCCACAGGATAGTGGAGAAAAGAAACTAAATAATCTGCCATTGACTACATGACAACACTGCTTGTGGACATTTTATTCACTGTAAAATAAATATTGTGCTGTAAAACTGTCCAGAACTAAAATCTGTAGTACACGGGAGGTGAGTCTGAAGGAGGGCAACAGAGAATGTTTTGTTAGAGCAAATCATTCAAGTCAAGAGAGGAAAATCGCCAACCGTACACTAGGAAGATATTCTGAGGGAAAACATTTATATCAAGGAAAAAGAAACAGGTAAAAGTTCTGAGAGAAAAGCAACCTATTACAAATAGTTTCTTGGGAATAACAGAGGTGAAGAACACTTATCTGTGAGGCTCTACTATGTGCCCAAGCTTTTACTTCAATACCTGGTAGAGAGTGGTTGCAAAATAAAAATGTGCTGAAAGGATTTCAGCCACCAGAATACATATTTTACATGGTCTCCCATTTAAACAACCTCCTATCAATTTCTTTCTTCATTATTTTTACTTCATTAACTCATCATATATACTATAATTTACATAATAAATCTATTATTTAAAAACTTTCAATAGATACAACAATTATGGCATTTCATTAGGCTGGACTCTAAATTGCTTGGATATTTATTTTGGAATCACATTATCCAAGCAAAGAAAAAACACAATCAGTTCATAAGACACAACAGAAATGATAAATGTGACACAAATGCCTGCCTTGGAAGTTTATCAATAACCTCTTATATACACATATATATTCACAAAGTGGTTGAGAGTCCTTTTATATGATCCTTCAGATGAGGTCCAGTGGCTGTGAACTCTATAAGATGACACATGGTCAGACAGAAATCATCAAGACTTTCAATGATCTTTTCTTTTTCCCAAACTTTATTATCCTTTAGTTTGGGAGAGAAAGAAGTCCATTTTCATCTGCTGTATCTAAGATTTTACAGATCACTGGAGATTCTACCTAAAGAACAACACAAATAAAATCATTAAAAAGTTGCTAAGCTGAATACTTTCTTCATTCAGTATTATTCTGCTGAATGAATACATACATATAAATGTGTTAAATGTATACAAGTCCTTGTTTTGGATAAATGATCCAATGTTATTTCTATAAATTGAGCTTTTTGAAATACAATCTTTTGTCATCCATATAAAACACCAAAAAGGTAGAGAAGATATTTTTAATCTATAAATAAAAGAGAGAAGAGAGAAAAGGAGTAAAGTACAATAATTAAAGAGGGTTATACTAAATATGATGGAGGAAATAGTGGGAAAGGAAAATAACATGTATGGCTAGATGGGGAATTTTAGTAGAGAAAAGCATGCCATAAAAAGCTAAATGGAAATGCTAGAAATAAAAAAAAAAAAAATGTCAGAAATAAATTCAGTCAAAGAGCTGGATGGGATACAGCATAGGAAAGAATCACTGCACTTGAAGGCAGTTCAGAAGAAATGACCCAAATGCAAACACAGAGTGAGAATAAAAGAAAGAGTATCTGAAATTTGGGGACAAGTTCAAACTAACATGTTTAATTGGAATCCCAAAAATAGAGAGAAAAAGGGTGGGGAGGAGATAATGTGCAAAATTTTCCCAAAATTTATGAATTATATCAATCCACAAATCCAAGAAGTCCAGTGAATTCTAACTAGAATATAGAGAAAACCACCCCTAAGCATCACATAATCAAAGGACAAAGTATAAAGTTTCTAGAAGAAAATATAAGAAAATATCTTTGTGACTTTGAGGTGGCAAAATTTCTTAGGAAAAAAAGCATTAGCAATAAAAGGGAAAAAACTGAGGAAAGAAACTTCATCCAAAAAACTTTTGCTCATGAAAATACATTAACAAATGAATAGGCAAGCCACAGATTGGGGAAAAAAAATGTGCAATATAAATACAAAGAAATCATGTCCAGAATATACTTGAATTCTTAGAAATAAATAGTAACACAGCAAAATAAAAACGGGTAAAAGACTGACAAAAACTCTCTTCTTGACAAAAACACCATAGTTAGGCAGGCTCCCCTGAGCCCTCTTTTCAACTAGGCCCTGTTTTGTCCTTGGGCCCTATCCTGGGCCTGCTGAGTGCAGCTGCAGCAAAAAAATCCCGATACATCAGTTTAGAGAGGACCCCTCACCCTTAATATCTAAGCACACTCCATACTGGTCAAATTCCTCATCTCTTACCTTTGATATCTGATCATCCTGGCTTGCCTTCAGCAATATTCCTGTTAAGTCAGTTTAGCATGAATCTCCTCCCCTAATGTCTCCTTTTAGTAATTTTCGATTCACCAGCCCACCTCCTCCTCCCTGTCTCTGCTTGTTGGCTACACATGCCCAGCTGTCCACTGTATCTAGAGTTGAGCTGGATCTCCCTCACCTATTGTGACAGTCTTGACACCTATTACAAAGTTCTGAATAAGTCTGCCTTACTGTTTCAGTAAGTGTATGATTTTTACTTTAAAAAGTCTTGGTTACCCAAATCCTCATCCCCGTTTCCCAACCTTAGGGATATAGCAGTTTCTTGTCCTGTTCAAGTTGCTGCAGCAGAGGTCAGGAGAGGTCAGGAGAGGTCAGGTGAGGTCAGGCCTGTAGCTTCTAACTGGGACCTATTTCTATTTTTATTTTGTATTTCTGGTCTGAAAAAAATTAACATTTAATAAAGGGAACTGACTTTGGGGGAAAAAAAGACTTGGTTGACTCGGTTACACACTTCACAAAAGAGGATATATGAAATAATCATATGAAAAAGTGCTCAAAACCAATTTTCATATGGAAAATGCAAATTGTAACTACTCAAATGGCTAAAATAAAAAGACTGACAATACCAAATGTTGACAGTGAGAATGTGGAGCTACTGAACTCTTATATGTTGCTGATAGAAATGTGAAACAGCACAACTACCTGGACAACTGTTTGGTAAAAGTTAAACATATATTTAATCTATAATTCAGCAATTCCATGCCTAGGTACTTAACAGAAGAAATGAAAACATAGGGCCACAAAAAGATTCGTAAAAAAATGTTCATAGCAGCCTTACTCATACAATCAAAAATGAGAAAGAGCCTAAATATCCATTTATAGAAGAATGGATAAGCAAATGTGGTATACTTATACAAAAGAATATTATTCAATTATAAAAAGACAAGAAAGCACTGATACATACAGTATGACTGAGTCTGAAGGACATGCTGAGTTAGAGGCCAGGCACAAAAAAATGTATATGCTATATAATTCCATTCATATGAAATAAAAAAAGAGGCAGAACTGCTTCTATGGTATCAGAAATCAGAAAGGGGTATCTTTGGGGATTCAGGAGTATTGACAGGGAAGGGGTTAGAAGAAAATTTTCTGCAGTGACAGATACCTTGTTTTGGGTGAGAGTTACATGGGTATATGAAACTGTCAAAATTCATCAAACTCAACATTTAAGATCTTTGCATCTAATTTTATGCCTATGATACCCTAAAAAAATGATAACAGCTTTTATAGAAGTATTCCATTTTAAAGACTACTGAAGGTCTTTCCAGGCTTAATGCTAAAAATTAAAATGTTGACCCCAACTGAATTCTTGAGTATTATTTTTTTACTTACCCCAAGGATATACTGACAGGAGTGAGGCTCTAGCATATATACAGTGACAGCATGAGGAGAATCTGATTCTTTACACCTACAACAGAGAGTACTTTAAGGTGCTGCCCAAAACATAGAAAATTATTTTGAATTGTTTTCCTCTTAAGCTATAAAAATTCCATGTGACCCTGTGTATTTATAATTTAATAATTATACATAACTCACGAATACGTAACAATTATATTACTGAAATTAATTTTAACAACTTAGAATAAAATAACCTTATAATAAATTATGAATACAATTATTCATAATTACATTGTATATTTATAAAAACTTTTGCCCAAAGGAAGCAGATTAAAGAGAAAGGCATAAAGCACAATTTGATAGTCCAACTTACTTTAGTTTTACAGTCACCTGTCTTGGTTTGTCAGTTATATCACAAATATCTCCATTCCCATAAAAATGTGACACCATCCTGAATCAGAAAAACACAGATGCTTTATCAAACTAAAGTTTCACTAATTTAGACTCATTGTGATGGGTAGGAAGAGATGATGGTTAGAGGGTCAGTTCTGCTTTAGTTAAAAAATCTGCTATAAAATATTCTTTAAAAATACATATTTTTATGGCTATGTCAGAGAGAGTCTCAGATTTTATAGAGAGAATATAAAGTTGAGATACTTTGTAGTGGTTTAATAATAATGATCTTCATCTTGCTTATTATTTATTTGCATATGAATAGTTAAGACTAAATTGCTTTTAACAACATTGTTCTTTTAAAATGAACCATTTCTCCATGAACTATTTTCACATGAAACATATACAAACATAAGAAAAATCCTTCTGTTTAGTATATTCTAACTTTTCTAATACTTAAATGCCAATCTCTTAATATCGCTAATTTTGATTTTGATTAGCCCAAGAAGTCAGCACCTTCTGGGAACAGTCCCTCATAACATCTGTGTTAGGAAGAATCAAGTTAACACCCAAGAAGGGGGGAAAAAAAGAACAATTTAAAATTCACTGGGCAATAGTTACTAGAAAAGCTAAAGCTTAGCTATTCTTGGGAATGATTAATTTACTTCAGCTGTAACAAGATATACCACTAGAGCCCAAAAGGGATGAGACAGTTTTTTAAAAAGCCACTGTTTAACTATTTTCAACCATTACCCCACAAAAGTTAAGTAACAAAGGGAAATGTTAGAGTATATTTAAACAATTAAATAACTTGAAGAGGTAAAGATTATGCACGAAAGAGGCAAATGCTTTATGATTGCCTCAGACCTAATACCTGGGAACTGAGCCACTGTTAACTAACATCACCACCACTCTCATTACCATACCGCCACGCATTGTTTAAGGCAGCAGCCAAAATATATTGCATGCTATTGCTAGGCACTATGCTTTATCTGAATACCTTATTTAAACGTCACAATAATACTATAAGGCAAATACTACTAGATAAGGAAAGTGAGGCTTAAGATTATGTAACTTGCCCAAGATAGTATATACATTCATTGGTTGCATATTGTATGTGTTCTGACTGGGAATCGAACCTACAACCTTGGTGTATAGGGACAATGTTCTAACCACCTGAGCTACCTGGCCAGGAAAAGAGCCAGAATTTGAATCCAGGGTGGTAGACTTTAGTGAGCTGCCTTACCTATTACACTAAGTTATTTCCCCACAAAAAGAAAACTACCCTAGTGTCCCTGAAAAAAACTGACCAGAGATTATACGTGTTTAAATTTTGTTTTTAAATATTCTGATTTTCAAATATTCTACTAATTAGATCCAAAGGCAAACAAAGTTAATCTACCTGACTATCTGGGTACCATCATCTTGCAGGTGATAGGCTCTAGCAGTATTCTTCTTAGCCCATTCAATATGCTCTTCTTGGTTCCATGTCCCGACAACCACAGAAGTTTTTCCGTTATCCTTGTCCTAATATATGAAAAAATATTTGTGATAAGGTATGCATACTTGACAATATCAAGTAGACTTTAATGCTAATGGCCTATAAGCTACAGTCCTTATCCTCATATACACACTGGATATCTGTGTTTAGAGGAAATAATGCTTTAGTTGAACTTGACTAGTAGAAATTTGAGCTTGCTGTCTTCCTTATAACTTGCTTCTCTGAAAAAATGAAACTACTTTCTAGTCAGACTAGCTTCAGACATAGTTATTTTTAACTCTTCTATTTCTTTCCTTTCCTACATCTATTGGTCCTGTCATTTTTTTCCTGGAGATGTTCTCAGCTTCGGACTCTTCCTTTATATTTCCACTGCCAACATTTCATCCCCCAGCCAGGAGTTTAATCTCTCATACCTAGATGACATAACCACATACTACTGTGATTCTTAATGAAATCTTTGGCCTCTATTACCCTGAACCACACTGTAGTCATACGCAGCCTACCTTCATCTTATTTCTACTCTTTTAAATGCAGACCTTAAAATTATATTACTCTTCATACCACTCATTTGAAACCACGCTCATTTCTGCATCAAGACTGTTCAGAAACCCCCTTTGCCATTGTGTGCTTTTATTTTTTTAAACACCAACTATATGTTGTCTTACATGAGGACTTCATTTCCTCTCCTTTCTTTTCCTTCTCCTAGTCCCCTTCCTTCCTGTCTTCTTTTCCTTCTTCCTATTTTATGCCAGGCACCATGCTGGGCACTAATATACATCTGATTAGAATTAAAAACCCTTATAGTGGCAAATGAAACAGGCATGGTCACTGCCCTAGTGGAGCTGACTGCTAGTGGAGCTGTCTGCCTAGTGGAAGAGACAGCCATTAAACATTCTTTTAGCAACCAGACTGTAAATTCATAGAAAGACATGGATTAAGAGGCTGGAGATGGAGCAAGACTGCCTGGGTTTGAATTCTAGTTTCACCATTTACTTCCTACGTGATTTTAGGCAAGTTACTAAACCTTTGCTTTTGTTTCCACATCTTGGAATATCAATATTTACTTTTTAGGGTTGTGAACAAGCATTAAATGAGTTAATATGTGTAAAGTGCTTAGAACAGTGCCTGAATAATAATTTTTCAGCAACAAAAAAGAATGAAATTTGGCCATTTGCAACAATGTGGATGGACCATATACAATGAGCAATATATTTGTTAGCGGCCATTATTTTTATATTTCTCAAAGCTCCAGAAGAGTTCCTCAGAAAGTTCTAGGTTATATGACCTTGACCAAAACAAGGCTGATAAAAACCTAGTTTAGGCAAGTATATGGGAAAACAGACATTGTTAATGGGAATGTAAAGTGGTTCAACCCATTGGGAGGCAATTGTTCAGAATGCATGTATGTTGCCCTAGTAAATACATGGCTAGAAATGTGCCCCATGAATATACTCACAAAAGTTCAACAATAGAACTATTTAAAAATGCTCACTAAGATGCCATCAAAGCAAAACTGGAAACAACTTAAAGGTCCATCAGTACAGGTCTGGGCTAAATACATTGTGGGTACAGACATAATCCTCTGTACCTGCTGGAAAGATCAGTTGTTGCTGACAAGGAAAGATCTCCAAGATACTAAATGAAAAGAATAAGTGCAGAGCAGTGTAGAATATTTAGTAGATATTTTCTGCATAAATAAAAAGGTTATACCAACATTTATGCATATGCATTTTTTTTCTTATGGTTAACTAAGAAAAAGTTAACAGTAGTTATTTTTGGGAAATGGAACAATGGTGGAGGACAATTTTACTTTTCATTCTAAATTTCTGGCATATTTTCATTCCTTTAATTAAAAAAACAAGCTCTTGGGTATTATCTGGACTACAGTTAGATGGTATATGTACTTTATCATTTTTCTGTATGAATGTTAGTAAAAATAAAACATCTACAAAGCAGCAAGAATAAATGGAAAGAATAGTGAAATTAAACTTCTTAGGTAGAAGTGAAAAAAAAAATGTCCTAGTTTGCAGATGCCTCATAAATTTGGAATGATTTAAATGTTCAAGTTAAGTTGAATTATCTTTCCTGGTACGATCCTCTTGGAGTTTAAAATTGGCTTAAAACATCTCAACAAGGCAAAGCCTTTTAAAAACAGCCAGGTCAGTATTTATTAGTGTTTGTCTTCAACATCTAGTAGTTTAACTTATCAAAGTACAACTATTACTAAATTATTGGGGCTTAAACTTCAGAATTTAAGCACCTTGGGTAAAGTGTGAGAGAATATGGTAATTTATGAAATTATAAATAAAAGGAAGAATAAAAAGCCAATGAGTGTAATCTTAAAACTTATTTTATTGTAAATGTGGTATGATATGATGCCTTCTTTTGGCTGAGAAACTTGCCATAATTACCCTACTTAACAAGTCTAGTGGTAATAAACTATCTTACTGCTCACTTTCATAAATTAAACCTGAATTATGGCTGAATAATAATTTTTCAGCAACTAAAAAGAATGAAATTTGGCCATTTGCAACAATGTGGATGGACCAAGAGCAGTGATTTTCAACCATTTTCATCTCATGGCGCACAAAAACTAATCACTACCATTCTGCAGCATACCAAAAAACCTGTTAAATTTTTTTCCAATTCGACAAAAAATAGTATAATTTTAATTCATTCACACCAGATGGCTATTGTTGGGTTGGCTGTTGTCATTATTTTATTTGACAATCGAAGGGAAAAAGAGATCAGTGTCCTTGACTAAATAGTCAGGTATTGCACGTCTTGTGGCACACTCGTGTGCCTCTTGTGACATACCAGTTGAAAATCTCTTACCTAGAAGGTAGAGGGTATTATGCTAAGCGAAATAAGTCAGACAGAGAAATACTGTATGATCTCATTGATATGTGGAATCTAAAGAAAACAAAATGAATATACAAAAACAAAACAGAAACTGACCCATAGAGAACAAGCCAAAGGGGAGGTGGTGAGGAGGGAATAAAATATAAAATAAAAAAATTACAAAACAGAACACTGATTTCTTCTTTTTTTATAGGAACTAGTGTTGGAGGAACCCCCGCTAAAGAACAAACTCTCAGTTTAGGGGTTTTCCCAGTGTTAAAGGATGGAGACTAGAAGAGTGAGCTATTAATCTGGCAGATCGCCTTAATTTTTGAATGTGGAAAGGCAGGTCTGGTACTTAGTTTAAGGTCTTAAGTGCAAAGGTTACCTGAATCAGAGAATAGATTAGTATGATTTTGGATGTTAGAAGCCAGCAGCTAGTGAGGAGAGAAAAGGTAACAGGAATGCCCAAAAGGGAAAGTTGGATTGAAAAGAAAAAAAGATAAAGATGAATTATAACAATGATTAATTTCTCGGTCAAAGCTAAAGAGGTTAGCCATACTAGCTTATTATTCCTCCAGGCTCACAGTAATATAAGAATCTGAGTAGTTAATAAACAATGTTACTTTAAGATTACTGACTGAATTAAACACCAAGTTTTATATTTTCCAGAATTTAGATAGTTCAATGAGTATTTCCATATGAAAGTCATGTCACAATTTAAATAACTCCCCCGTTTTTTTTCCTACAAAAGATTTTTAAAACTTTAATCCATCTAGCGGTAGACTGGTATACATACTGTTCTATACCTCATGGTATTGATGTACGTGTTTGCCATAGCAGAATTCGTATTTCCACCAACCAACACCCTATGGGAAAGGAAACAGATCAAGTTATACACAGAGAAGGTGAGACTGGGGCCTGTCTCGATATTGCCACACAGTAGCAATAGAAATATATGTAATTAAAAAAACCTGTAATAGCAGTAATACGATTGAAAATTAAAATAAAAAATTACTGACAAAAAACAGACAAATACAGAGAACAACTGTTGTACTGCCTTGATAAAATAAAATAAAAATTCTATTTGTAAGTAAGTGTATTTCTCACTGGAGCTATTAGTCAAGGGAAGAATTTACCTGTGTAGGTGTTAACTCAAGTTTTAAATGTGACTGCTATATAATCACTGAAGCCCATTACAGCAATCAACTAGAATTACATGTGCCTTAGTTATATATATTGTCTGTCAAATAAAGGTCAAGTTTTAGCTTGTGAGTAAAGAGAATAATAATGGCTATGGATTAGAGTATAGTAAGAAGCAGAGAGAAAATGTCCATTGGGAGGCTTCCAGAATCTTGCCATTTGTCTCAAGACCAAAACCTCTTTCAATGCTGTTACTGCCTCTTGAGTAAATAACACACAAGTAAAAGCTGTAAACTAAATATTTAAATGGAAGGTTCACGTCTCACCCCGTGAAAGCAGTAGGAGCCACTAAGAAACTCTTTTATGAGTTGGTCATCTGTCAATTTGGATATATGGGTTGTTCCAACAGTGAGCATTGGCTGAGAACCAACAGCAATGGGTTTGTGGATTGCTGGGAATCTCTCTTCTTTAGCTGATTGCAGATCTTCCTATAATTAAGTACATATATGTTGAGGGCCTTCTTTACCACACTTAATTTTTTCAGTTATGACCTAAATTATTTTTACACTGTAGAAAACTTGGAAAATAAAACCTGTCTGTAACATATTTTTAAAAAAAATGAATTTTGCAATGCTTAGTAGTATAGAAAAAGCTCTAGGAAAATATAGTCCCATTTACTCATTAGGGGTATGGTGACCAGTCTTCCCATGCAGAGATAATTTCCATTTCATATATTTTGTCTTATTATTCTTAAGTATTTTGTTCCTTGTTAGATTTTGTGTGTCTATATTTAGTTTTAAAAAATGTAGTTACTATGGGTAAAGAAAGGATAACAAGCAGGGAAAAGAGAAACTGAGTGAGAGCAAATATGAGTTTTAGTTATAATTATTCAAACGTAGCAGGGCCTGGAGGAACCTGCGGTTTAGTGAAGGAAGACACTAACTAATAAGGATGCAGGGACCAGCAGATTCACAGAGGTAGGGGTGATTCAAATAGACTCTGACAATGAATTGAAACACAATGAATTGAAACATAAAGTCCTCACAAAGAGAAAAGCCTTGTTTAATTCATAAACTATAAATAATAATTTGTGATTTATGTGAGTGTCTGTGCATGTGTTTTGTGTGTGTGCATATGCATGTAAACCTGAGGATGTAAGAGCAAATGTGTGAGAAAGGTACGATACTTAAAGAGATAAGCAGGCACCATGTTGTGAAAAACTAAGAAGTTTGGACCTTATCTTGCAGACTTCAGGCAAAGATGGAGTGATTGGGTTTTTAAGTAATCACCTGAGCAGTGGCAGGGAAGAAGGATTACTAATAAGTCAGGACGTGGGGAGTCAACTTAGGAGATGCAATAACCCAGGCCAGAGATAAAGAGAATTTAAAGTAAGGGAATGACAGAAGAGGGGTGGAGAGAAGAGGATAGTTTTGAAAGAGGTTAATGAGTCAGAGTCTGGTAGTTAGCTGGGTACTGACAGTGAAGAGGAAACGAATCTAGACCAGAATTGAAGAAGCAAGTATACCAATTATAATTGAATAAAATAATTAAGAAAAATAAAAAGTAAAAGGTTCCAAGAAAATGTTTAGTGGGCATGATATTTCCTTTTCCACCAGCTGTAGGTGCTGTGGACCAACTGTGGTTCTTTTTTACTTCAGCTTGGAGAAGTCACTGAACAGTCTCTAGAAGCTAATCACCTTATTCTTACTCTCCTCCAACATTAAGAACAAAGATTGCCAAGATGGCTTATTTTTTTAAAGGATCCTGAATTTTATGTATATCTCTTCCTAAATTCAGAGCTTACTGTGCTCTTGGCACTATTTTAAGTGCCGAGTATTAAAAGTGAAACAGAGTAACTGCTTCTAAGGAGCAAAGGTCTAATAGACTGAACTAATTACTTCAAATACATGAGACCTATCGTGAAGTTAGTGAAGAAAAACAGTAATACTGTATAGTGAAAACTGAAACTGAGATAAAGAAGTAGGAAGAATAAAAGCATGGCCATCTATTATAGCTTCTTGTGGAGAGAACATCTGTCATTTTTTTTAATCTTCACCTGAGGACACATTTATTGATTTTAGAGGGGAAGTGAGAGAGAGAGAGAGAGAGGGAGAGAAACATTGATGGGAAAGAGAAACATCGATGGGAAAGAGAAACATCAATCAGTCGCCTCTTGCACATGCCCCGACTGGGGACCAAACCTGCAAACCAGGAATGGTAATTCCTGGAATGGTAAAACCAGGAATGGTTAATTTGGTAATCTCCAAATTAAAGTAATCTAATAACATAGGCAGAACATCAAACCAAAATTCTGATAGCCAGATTTGTATTTTTGTTAAAAAAGTATTATTTATCTTTATAACAATGCCTGATCCACACTTAAAAGGCAAACCATAAGCTAAATAATAACTTTAAAAAGAAAAGAGATGTGTAATACACTTGATTTATTAAAAAAAAAAGAAGGTCCTGGCTGGTGTGGCTCAGTGGACTGAGCACTGGCTTACGAACCAAAGGCTCGCAGGTTTGATTCCCAGTAAGGGCACATGCCTGAGTTGTGGGCCAGGTCCCCAGTAGAGGGCATGCGCGAGGCAACCACACATTGATGTTTCTCTCCCTCTCTTTCTCCCTCCCTTCCCCCTCTCTAAAAATAAATAAGAAATCTTAAAAAAAAAAATGGTTCTGAAGTAAAGATGATTGGCTTTAAGTACCTACTTATCCTATAATATTACCTAAGATTTTCATATACAACATGGACTCTAAAGATCCTAAGTGTTTTGAAACCATTATCATCTATAGCTTTTTAAATAGTTTTTCTCAGCTGGAAGATTAAACACATTAAAGAAAAGTAAATAGGCACTTTTTCATTCAAGAGTAACTATAGTTGGGATTTGTGAAGCACTTTGATCAATCTGACTTTTAAGTACATGTCAGTATTTAAATCACTACCAAGGAGAAGACTAGAAAAAAATTCCATTTCCAATCTTTTAATATAACACTTCAAATCAAATGTAGATTAATGTTAAGCTAATTTTCCTCTTCTATCAGAACGGCAGTGTTCACAACATCCACAAAGAGTCTGACAATACTTCTGTAATAAGTACTCAAGAGGAAGGGAGGCAACAGGCCTTGCAGCTAAATGTTAGTTAATTAAACCATTGTTAAGTACTCACAGCATATAGGTATCATGCAAGGAGCTGGAAAGCCCAAAGGAATGAAAGCATAGTTTATTTTCTATCCATTTTAATGTAAGAACTATATGAAAAGTTATCAGTTTTAGCCATGTAAGTGCTACAATGGAAGATTAAATAAAATACTAGACCACAGAAGAGGAAACATCCACCTCTTCCTGAAGTAATACATTAGAAAGTCCTGGCTTGTTTGCAAAGAAGTGACCCTGGGAGCATGTCCTCAAGCTGAGGAAGTATAAGTCTATCAGGTGTAGGGGAGAGAGGGGAGAAGGCAACAGAAGAACGGAAACAGTATATCAAAAGGCAAGGAGGTTAGGAGAAATGTGGTATTTTTAGAAAATTCTAAGTTGTTCAAAATAGCTAGGATAAAGGGAATGGTGATGGGAGATGAGGCAGAAGCCTAATCACAAAGGCGCTTGCATTCCCCTTTGATAAAGTCATCTTAAAATCAATGATTTTATTCTGAGGTATAGATCACGTTAACTGCCAAAGGTTTAAATAAATAATTAAATGTTCATTACAGAAAGAGCATTTCATCAGCTGTATGGGAAGGATTAGAAAGGGGCTGTGTTAGACTTGTTTCTGGTCCTAGGAAATGATAAAGTCCTGAATTAATGACAAGACAGATTTGAAAAGCATTTAGAAGATAACATAAATAGTTCTTGGTGAATAATTAGAGTTATAGAAGATGAATCAAGAGATAGGTAAGAAAAATAACTTTGGTTTTTGACCTAACAAGTGGGTAGAGCACAGTGCTTTAAAAGCAACAGGGAAGACAAGAAAAGGGTCAGTATGAAAGAGAAAGAGAATTTTGAACTTGAGATTTTTGAAAACATATATGGCTACACCCCTAAGGAAGATGAAAAGGGAGGATAGCCTATCAAAAAGAAGCAGCAGCAGACAGGAGTGGTTAAGAGGACAGGCTCTAGCCCTAGGCGGTGTGGCTCAGTGGATTGAGTGCCAGCCTGCGAACCAAAGGGTCACCAGCTTGATTCCAGTCTAGGGCACACACCTGGGTTGCTAGGCCAGGTCCCCGGTGGGGGGCATGCAAGAGGCAACAACACAGTGATGTTTCTCTCTCTTTTTTCCTCCCTTCCACTATATCTAAAAATAAATAAAATCTTAAAAAAAAAGAGAACAGGTTCTAGAATCAGAGTGCTTTGATTTTAATCTGTGATCCATCCCCTGTCGCTTCCCCTCCTTAAACCTCAGGTCTCTAATCTGTTAAGAAAGATAATAATAGTATAGGTTATTGTGAGGACGAGGAAATTGCTGTTAAGACTCCATACATATTAATTATTGATTGTGGTTTGAGTTCAGGAAGAAGCTCAGTGTAGAAGATGTATATTTGGAACTCATGGCATATAAAGAAAGTTGAAAGAGTAGGCATGAATGAGCTCACTTAAGGAGACTATGGATAGAACTGTGTGGAACTTCATTTTAAGGGACAGGAAGTAGAGGAAAAAACTAGTACTCAGGAAAAAACTAGTTGTCAGGAAAAAAGAACCAGAGACAAGTAGAGAGAAAGACCAGAAATAAAGGGAGATGAAAAAGTTCAGGCTTCACATAATCAGTGTTTTATGCTACTGAGATGAAGTTATGTATATACATAGTGAGTAAGAACAAAAAGAATGCTGAGATGGGTTATAGCCTATTATTTCAAGAAGTTTGCTTAGCTGGGAAGTCCAGTCAACTAGTAAAAAAAAATAAACTTAATTAGAATGAACAGGATGTCAAATTTTAAATTATTATAAAATTAGAAGGGCCAGAATGCTAAAATAGTTTCTGAGAAGTACTAGAATAAGAAAAATAATTAAAATCAATAAAAAAGAACTGAAATTTAAAACTCTGAGTCAGAAAATAAATTACTAATACACTAAAGAAATCACTAAAATATTGGTATATACTCTATAAACTGGAAAAGCACTGAGAAAATGCTGTTAGAGAATTCTCCTACCTCTTTATTTCTCCTAAAAGGCACCCTTAGAATTTCTTCCTGCTGTTCCAACTGTCTCAGGGTGAGGGGTTTAAATGGTGATCCTGGCAGTGACTGGCAAAATATATCATTCACAGGAGATGCTCTGAATCTGTTCAATAAAAACAAAGCATTAAAACTAAGCCTATGGCAACTTTAAAGCATGCGCATTTCATGTTTAAATATGAAATCCACATCCTACCTATATTTAGGATGATTGCACAAGAGTGGTGTCAAAATGACAACTTCATATTCACAAGTTGTAACTTCAGCTACTGAAAGAATTTCATGCTTAGATTCAGGATGACATATGTACATCACAGTACTTGATCTGGGCCGGTTCTGTTTCAGACTACAAGGTGTACCATTTCCCATTCCTACTGGATAGTAGGGTGTCATCTGCCCTTCAATATTTTTAGTGGGAATCTTAAAAAAAAAAAAAGAGTATAAGACAGACTTTTCATTAGAAATAGGGGTAGGACTGAGGATGGGAGAAGCACTTATTCTGAAAGGAAGACAACTACATTTTATTTATAAACTAACACTTCTAAAGGTTACATTTATGTAGTAAGTTCTCCCTCTAATATCCTTTTGACTAGTGTGTTCTTATTTGACCAAACACGTATTTTCAGAGCTAGTTTAATACAGCAAAAAAAGACATTTTTATTCAGTATTAAAATTAAGATGTTAAGTATACATTTATATAAAAGGATATAACATCATAATTAATGACTTATTTTTTAATAGTTTTAAAGCAAGAACTAAGACAAAATGTAGGAACTTACAATATTGAGCTGGTCAAAGCTTTCTTCACTAAACTCTTAGTGCATGACTGTGTTAGAGTTTAGATTCTACAGGTTTGAAGTTTGATATGTCACAATGTGGAGTTAAATAATAAAATACTATTTTCTAAAATAGGAATCTAAATACTGTACTGGTTCATTAATCTGCTTCTTCTTCTTCCCTGTTATTAATATTAACAGACATATTTTTCAGCATATAAACTCATATAAATCTATTTAAAACCAGCAAAAGACAAATAGAGAAATTTTCATAGAATGGGGGAACAAAGGAGATCACCTCAGAAACAAGGATTATGGTTTGGGAGAGTTAGTTTCCATACTATATATAAACACAAGAAAAGCCCAATATAAGGGCTTTAAAAAAATATCAGTAATAATATCTTCCAGCAAGCCCTTTGGAGGCACGGAGCTCATCTTGTATCACTTTGGTACCCTGTCAGTGCACATCCAAACAGGCAATAAATAAATGTTTACAGGCATAAATATTTTGAGATTTCTTATATGCTATTTTCATGCTAGTGTCTGGAATTAGAAAGTCCTGGGTTCAAACCCAAGCTTTGAACTTACTACCCTTATAACTTTGACCAAATTTCAGTTTTTGTCATTTGTAAAAATAGAATAATAATATTCTTCTATTATTATTAGTTGTTCATATGGAAAATAATACAATAATAAATAATAATACAAGAATAAACTCTGTGTTTTGCGTACTCACAACTGTAAACCTCCTTTTCCTCACCCTGTATACTCATAAGTTGTGGGGAGAATTAAGCATTACGTTTTGTTACATGTCTGGTCTAACGACTGGCTTATAAAATGGGGCTCAATAAATGTTAGTTTTCTTCCCTTACCCTTTTCTTACTCTCCCCTTTATCATTTCACACTTTAAATTCTATCTTGCTATCCTCCAGAGCCACAGTATATAAATATTTTATCTCATAGTTTGTAAAATTAAAATCTTTTAAAATAGCAATGCTATGTGTGTCTATAATTAGCCTTATCAATCCCCACCACAGCCACCCTTTTAAGTTATAGGCATCCCTTTTAGGTAATATTTTAAGGCCTCTTCCCATTTCACTTTACTTCTAATAGAAGTATCATTCTGATATGAAGCCATTTAGAGAACTATCCTCTATCAATAACTTACTTAATTCTGGAAATTCTTAAGATTCAAGCATTCCTTGAACTACAGGGTCATTTAAGAATTGTGATTAAACATCCTAAGGAATCATTCTTTTTAGATACTCCTATTCAGTCAGTAAGTTATGAATTCACATTCAATGAACATTTATGAAGTGTCTATGTTATGTCTGGCACTCTGCTTTGCACTGAAGGGGGTAAAGATATAAAAGACAGTCCCTCCTTTTAACATGCTTGAAGTCTGGTAGTTTGTTATTTACCTAGATAGTTTTATCTCTTTTACCCACAAGAGACAGGGATCAAACAAAAGCTGTTGTAATTGTTTCCCTGGTAAAAGAGAGGGAAGCACTGCTAAGCACAGAGGTGATATAATGCTATTACAGAAACTTTTCCAGACATGACTTGGTAAGGTTGCTTAGTTCTATATGATCTAAAAGTAACTTTTAAAATCATAGTGTAACTTTCCTCAGAAAAACCTAGCAGAATGTAAATTTCTCTCACACAATCTTTTGTGATATTTGATATAGTTAAAGAATACATGGCTATCTATATTCTATCAATTAAATTGCATAAATTCATGCCTACTAGATGTTAAGAGAAAAATCATCTGTCACTTGCCTCTTTTGATTTTTCCTTTTCTTCTGCTTCTTGTTCTATGAGATAAGAGTAAGGTAAATGTAAAGAATGACCAGTGATTTTACAAAGAAGAAACAAATGACTAAGTTTTCAATTAATTCTGTAATCTTAAACTTCTTTCTAAAGAAGACCCAAAAAATGCATGTACTTTTAATCTTACTAGTCAGCAAGTTTTCCTTGAAATGGTTTTGTTTGAAAGAACAGTTATATTATTTAATCTTTACCTAGGAAATACTCTATTTGACACACAAACTCTGGCCACAACAGTGTTTTTTGAAGTATTTTTATCTCAGAGAAAAGTTTAGTTGATCAACTTGAATACAAATTTGTAAAGTATTTCACAATTTGAGGGATACATCTACATGTCTATTTCAATATATAAGAACTTTGCTTAAACAAAGCAAGACTAACACTATATAATACTAACATATATCTTTTCAGCTTTAAAAAAATGTGTTAATGAGTTTACAAAAAAGCATGTTAAAGCAGAAAATAATGGAAATATCTTTTTGAAAGAGTTTTCTAAGAAATTGTTCAGAAATTTATTTTAGTGTTTTAAAATCTGTAGTCTCCAACAAAATTTTTTAAATTCCATTTTGAACATATACTTTATATCAAATTCCAGCGTTACAATCAAGTCACTATAGAAACAAACCTTTTTCAGATAGAAGGTTCTTTGCCAACATATTCCCAAGGTAGTACTCATGAATATTTACTTTCTATATTTAAAAAGAAAATAAAAGTATAGTTGAGCATTTTGCAAATACATTTTTCAAGAACATAAATTTAATACCATTAATCTCATTATTAGTGTTCTCATTTTATAATGTTCCATACTTTGTATTTTGAAGAAAAACATACCTGACCACTTTCTTTCTCTTCATGGTACTGCCGAATATGTTTTCCATGACATACTTCGTAAGTCCAATAAGACTCAATCTAAGAAAGATAGAGATATTTAAATATACAAAAGCTGCCTAACTCAACTGAGTTACTTTTTGATGCTTTAGGTAGATGAGTAGATTTCCCCCAAGATTTAGAGTAAGCTTTCAATAAATGAAACTTATATTATGCCTCAGAAAAATATGAAATTTCTGAAGTCTGTTCATTGTTTTCACTACTTAGCTGTATGTGAAAACTCTGTGAATAGGTCTAGAATAATCACCTAACTTAGGGGTCATTTTCCACATAGCTTAAAAATAATAATTAGCATTTTAAATTAAAACTGTATATAACTTCTTTTGATCTGAAAAACATTCAAAACAGTTTGGTGAGTGATATTATTTTATACTGGTATCACTGGGTATTTGCTACATATACCATACAGGAATTTAAATTAACAAAATACTATTAAGCAACTGCTTAGATTGACAACTAAAATTTTGATACAACATAAAAGAAATGCAGAATTATTTTCAATGGTCTACTGGCTGCTGGAAATTTACTTTCTAGTTATCAAGTGAACATAAAATACATACTCTGTAGGAACAACTGCTTTGTTTAAATAGTGGCTCCAACAGCTCTCTTGGATTTGGGCCTTTATAATCCTTTTCTTCTTCCTATGAAAGAACTAGAGTTTAATACTTACAATTTTTCTAGAACTTCACCCAACTGTGCTGTTCGGTTATTATCTCATTGGTCAAATCACAAATGCTTGGAAATAAAAAGAGGGGGGAAAAGTCAAAACCTTTAATAATAATCTATGGTACACCACTTCTTTCAAAAGAGTTGAAGTAAAAAATGTGGAGCCATAGAATAATCATCCATTCTTTCTTCTCTTACGAAAAGGTTTTTGAGTATTAAGTTTCCTGAACACTTTTTATAAACCTATTTCAGAATTTTTAAATGCTTGCATACAAATTCTAGCTATAAAAGCCTCAGAATAGTTGAATCTTGTAGCATGTATTGGAAAATTTTAAGGTACTTCTTAGTTTTCTACATATTTTCACATTTCAGACTTGAATGCCAAATATATTCATATGTATGTGATTGTGTGCGGGTGGTTTGTGTCTTAAGTAGCTTTCAAACAAAATTGAATAGCTGTCTTTCACAGATTTCAAATCTGAAGAAAAACTAAGGAAGCACTCACTGAGTTTTATATTTCCATTTCATAGGTCATAAAAATATTACATAATTAGCTCAATACATTTCTTGAGTGGAGGAAATGAGTTTCAAAAATTTTTTCAAGGTTCCGTAGCTAACTATAGCCTATACCTCAGCCTCCTGGCTCCTAGGCTGATGTCCTTTCCATTTTACCATGCTGCCTCTCCTGTTTCATCTTGAAAGCAGTCATTGCCTTAAAGGATGGATAAGAGGCAGTTAGTAAGGGCATTTTAGGAGGAAAAAATGGGCATGAGCTAAGGCACTGAGAAAGCATAAGGTACCTATAGATTTATTAGCAATTCTTTATTAAACATGTCATGTATACATTTAAAAATTATTTCTTGTGTCAAAACTCTCGTTTCTTTTTTTTTAAGTGGCAGTATAATTCTTCATTGAGAATTGTGGGTTTAAAAAAAAATTTTTTTAATTTAATTTTAAAGAGAGGGGAAAGGAGGGGGAAAGAAAGGGAGAGAAACATTGATGTGCTGATGTGTATGAGAGATACATTGAGCAGATGTTTCCCACATGCCCTCATCTGGGGATCTGGCCTGCAACCCAGGCATGTGCCCTGACTGGGAAGCGACCCAGTGACTTTTCGGTTCACAGGCCAGCGCTCAATCCACTGAGCCACACCAGCTAGGGCCAAAACTCTCACTTCTATAAAAGAAAGCAAGAATGGAGTTACATTTTCATTCAAGACATCAATAATTGGTTGCTAATTTTTTCCAGTTGAACTTTAAAATCAAGGACTTCAGGATAATAGTGATTACTATTTTTATGGTAAAACAGCATTATTGAAAACCTGTCATTCAATTTTATTTTAAAGTATGTAGTTGACATGTTTTAAATAAATGTCTTCGGTGACAGAAGTTATCAATATACTTATAAAAACATACCTCATCCCCACCTGTCACAAGGGGAAGAATGCATTTATATTTTTCTTTATGTGTGGTTGTCATGATGACATAATTATCCTCTTTATACAAGACTCCAGTTGTAGGCTAGAGATAGAACAAAAAAATACACATTACTTTCTCTGGTTAAATTGTATTACATTGCATAACTTACAGTCCTAAGTCAAACTAATTCATCACTTTAACAGAGGATTTTTAAACACATTTTCAAAGGAAAAGGGAAAAGAATACATATTTTTTAATGACAAAATTAAGATGACAAACTTCTTCCTGGTATTATAACAGAAAAAAGTAAAAATAAAGTTTGGAGTATAAAAAAAGTAGTAATGCAATATATTAAAGTTGAAATATGGATTAAAAAGCATTAAGAGGCAATAAATGTTAATGAATACACCATCACTGAATACTTATTACTCCTACTAACAATTACCACCTAAATGCAAGAGTCTACAGCAGTTTACAAATGAACTCCCAACTGTGTTGGATGGGACACAATTTTTCATATTTGGATAACATATGGAAAAATTACTTCTAAAAGAGAAGTCACTATGGATCGTCTGTGCCGAGTTAATTTTTTTTTAGTATATATCATGGGTCAGCAAACCTTTTCTATTAAAGGGTCAAATAATAAAATATTTTAGACTTTGTGGGCTGTATGATCTCTGTCTGTTGCCACTACTCAACTCTGCCACTGTAGTAAGAAAGTGCATAGGCAATATATAAGCAAACAGGAATGACTATATTACAAAAAAATTTTCTTTACAAAAACAGCTGGTGGGCCAGCCCAAAAGTATGAATTGCCAACTCCTGGTATATACCAATAAAACCGTCCTTAAAGCTTTCTATACTGTGAAGGCAGACAAATTCACAAATCACATACAAACCAATGTAATTCAAATAAACATTTCAATTAATATAACTGATATTATTTAAAAAGGTATCTCTGTGATAGCAAATGTGTTACTAACTACTAAGGCAGAAATTTCACAGTTTATAATATGTGTTCGGTGATAATTCAATTTTATCTTTTCTTTTCTTACAGTACTATGAAACCACTATACTATTTGGCTATCCCTAGCAAGGAAGGAACCATTCCTATTAAGTACCTTTGTTCTTCTCTGAATTTCCAAAAACAACTTTTAACCATAATAAAACTAGTACTACTTGACACCAATGTCCTCTTAAACACAAATGCAAATTAGGACAATGTTTTCCCAAGACCATAAATCAAAACACCAAAGTACCATTCTAAGCCCTTTTAACTACACCAAAGTACCATTCTAAGTCCTTTACATTTTATTAATTCATTGATCCTTAAAAAAAAGTATCCTATCCAACCTATAGGAAAGGAAACTAAAAGCCAGAGTTCAAATAACTTGTTGAAGGTAACAGTTAGAAGAGCAGCACAGCCCAGACACGAAACTAAGCACACTGCTGTTATAACAAGCCTTGACCCAGCTTTTGTTAACATTTTCTTGGATTATAGATTCCTGGGTTACGGCCAATGATCCTTTTTTAAAAAAAAACTGCATTTATTGGGGTGACATTGGTTAATAAGATCATATAGGTTTCAAGTGCACATTTCTGATACATCATCTGTATATTGCAGTGTGTGCCCACCACCCAAAGTCAAATCATCTGTCACCATATATTTGGCCTACTTTACCCTTTAATACCAGCCCAAGGATCCTTTTTTAAAAGACTACTAAAAGTGAAGAGGGGAATCAAAAAGATTTGAAAGTGAGAGTTGCAATGTCAAATTTATGATAAAGGAATCCTTAGAAACATTTATTTTGTTGAGCCGCTAAATTGCTATAACTATTATAATGCCTTTTAATGTTTTCAGATATATTCAAAATACATGACAGTGAATTCTGCAAAACATGACTCACATTCACTTATCAATGGATGGTCTGAAGTCTTGTAAAATCATTGCTGTCCTGTAGTTAAGGCAGACACTAGTACTTATATGTATTCATCCCTATTTGTTTAGTAGATGTAACTCTAATGTTTAAAGTTGAATTCTCTAGCAATATCAACTTATTTGCCAACATGTTCACCACTATGTTAACAATGAAAAAAGGAACAGCTTGACTGGAACCACAGCAAAGAGAAAACAATTCTTTTTTTATAATAAAAACTACTCTTAGGTTTTATATGATAAAGAAAACTCATTTCTCTGCCTATTGTTTTTAAGGTTTAGGTAAAGGGTAACAAGAAACAGAAGTCACCATTATTTCTGTGTGAAGCTGACAAGATTTGGCTTTCATTAGTTTAGGAAGGGATGCTTTCCTCATCAATAAAAGACACCAAATAGAAATTCTTCTATCTGAAAACACTGAAATAGCGAGTCATGTATTGGGATCAAATTTTACCCTACTGTATTAGAATAGGGTAAATTTTTATTAACAGAATTTTTGTAATAAAATTTTGTAACAAACTTTACCCTTTTTTGTAATAGAAATTACTGGGAAAAAGTAACCTTTTTATTAACCTTTTGTGATTTTCTAAGGTAAAAAAAATTTTTTTTGATCTACTACTAACATGCTTTCTTCTGATTTTGTGAAAGTTTCTTACTGTAAGAAAATGAAATATAATAAATTCTGAGTGTACAGAATTAGTGTAAAAAACTTGTTTTACATAAGATAAACCTTAAAGTGTTTAAAGTATAAGAGGTAATATTAGTGATTTGGTAAAAATCAAATTTTAATATAATGACACTAAACAAAGGGGGTTTGGTACTTTTAGGTTAAGAAACTTTACAAATATCTTGGCAGCAGAGAAAATCCTAATGTTTGACATGAGTCTGGAGGAATTAAGATAGAGGATGAGAAACAAATCCTGGAAGACGGTAAAGCAAACTCAGTGGCGCACCATGTCAAAATATGTAACATGCTTGGAACCACGGAGTTGGTCACTACTCTTCCCAAGTGTAGTGTTTAGGGAAAGTTTTTGAGTGGGAATACATTTCTATATTAACAACAGAAGTAGAGAGAATTAGACTTATTTTGCAGTTTTATTTTGGTGAAATCCATGAACTCTGTGAAGTAATGAATAACTGAATACTTTAATGACCTAAAAATAATATTTCAGAAAGTATACACATAAAAACAAATTTTAATGCTAAAACCCAGTAAAGAATATAACCCTTAATTAAACATTTTAAACCTTACACATTTTTGGTGCTTAATATTTTTTTTAAATATATTTGAAAGCAAAATTGTAACGATTATGTATTTTTTGACATATATGAATGTGAAGATGATTTAAAGCACCAAAGAATTTTAAACCTAAAAAATAGATTTAATCTAGTCCCTTCCAACTTTAGATGGCAGAGAGGTAAAGGCCCTCTCCCTAGTTCATACAGCTTAGTTTTATACAAATGTGCAACCAACTGGTCCATAAAAAAAAAAAAAATGACAGTACCAGGAGAAGAGGACTGTAGTTTCAATTACATAGTATGAAAGGAAGCCTTAAGAGTATAAAAATATTTTTTAAAAATCCAAAGACCAATTATGTCTCTAGGGGCTTATTTTTGGCCTGAGGGCCACAGATCTTTTGCCAACTCTTAGAAAAATGTCTCTAGATTTTTCTGGAAGTACCTCAAAGTTAAAAAGAAAAAAAGCTCTCTCCAAATCTTCAAATGAGCCCACCTTAGATTATGGTGTATTGCCAAAGAGAAGTAATTAAAAAACAAATTCCAAAATAAAATTGACGTATATGTGAAAAGTTGGTATAGCACAACTTCTTTAGCCAGCAAGCAGAAGTGCCAGGAAAAAAACCCTGAACAATAATTTGGTAGTAACCTCTAAAAAGGCTGGTTTAAGCCATCCATTTATAGGTTAGTAAGTTTGCAGGGCTGTATATCAGCATAAGTTTTTAAAGGAAAAAAAAAACAACACAGGCACAAGAGGAAAAATTTTAATCATCATATTCTTTAAACATTTACCATATTCATTCCAAGTGTGCTCTTCGGAAACAGTAACCCCAGCCCTGCTAAAGTTATATCTGACTTACAGCTATTATATAAGTATTTAAATGTATTATCAACATTTCATGGCACTGACCCAAACATAAACCGGGCTTCTCAGAGAAATATTTACTTAGATAAATCTGAACTACCAGAATAGGAGAACTGAAAGCAGAGGTGGTGGAGAAACAAACCAGGTGTGAAGTATTAGCAAAAATTAGCATTTGCAAATAGAAAGTGGTTATGATGCAACCTTTATCCTGGTATATCTTGTTTTCACATGATGGTACCACTTATTCATGTTTCAATGACATAGTAATAGAACAACATACTGAGATAGTCTCAAATGAAATGACAATAAGTAACTGGAATGAGAATTTTAAAAAAGTTTTGATTCTCCAGGACTTCAATTTGAAACAAATGAATTAATCACTACACGGTAACTATCATGTAAGGCTACAATTTTTACTGGCCTATAGTGGATAGGGAAACTTTTCAGCAGTCGACTGCCCAAAGAGGACTGCGGATTTTCCTTACTCTGAGGTTATAAATGTTCCTCACTGTAGAAAAACTGATCATAAAATCTCACGTTCTGGGGTCCTAACCGTACATCAGAACTGTAAAGGATATTCTGCATAGAGCGTCGTTGACATCTCAGGCCAAATAGCCATCTCAAAAACAACTTCTGAGGGAGAAGAGCAGGGCATACGGGTTACGTGTGCGTATCCAAGAGAGACGGAACGAATACGAGGAGAGACGGAACTCATATCTGCCCTGCCCACACACACACCCGGTGTGTGTGTGTGGGCAGGGCGGTGTGTAATACTGAAAGGGAAGGCTGCAGGTGGTAGAAGAGCCGCAGCTGACTTCCCAAAGATAAAAGTGCACTCCTAACGTGGTTCTAAGAAAACTTCCTCCACAGGGAAGGAGTGCTGGTAAGCAAGTCTAGTGAGACATTTAAAAAGGGGGTAGGGAAAGCAGGTGACCGCTGGATTCCCAATGCTTAACATCAGGGCATCTCCACGTATTGTGTTCGATAAACACTTGCTGTATGAATGAATGAACGCGAGGTAAATGAAGTGTTGGAGTGGGGAAGGAGACACCCGTCTGCAGAGATGGTTCCAGGGTGGGGGGAAAGCGTTAAATACCGAAGGAAAGGGCCGAACCCTTAGTGCAGGGAAAGAGATGGCTACGGGGTTTGCGAGGGCACTGACCAGAGAGAACTCGGTGCCGGGCCAGTTGACTCGGAAAGGGATGTCATCGCTGAGTTGGGGGAGCGCTCGGCCGCCGCCGGACGCCTCTAGGAGGCCGCAGAGGACCAATAACACCGGTCCGCCTGGGACCAGACTCCGCGCGCCGCCGCCTCCTTCCTCCATCCTCCACCGCCGATTTCTCCAGCCACCGACACAAGCTCCTCTGCCACAGCGGAGAGGAGGGGGAGGAGGAGGAGGAGGCGGCGGGACTACTAAAACGCCCAGGCAAGCCGGGGCTCAACCGCCGCCACGTCTCCTTCCGGAGAGCCCGGCAACACCGCCCCTGCCCCGCTGGGCCACCCGCCACAGTTTCCGGGGCAGGCGGCATATCAACATCCGGGGCCGCCGAGCCGCCCGCCTACGGAAGCCGCGACACAGGCCGAGCTTTGCTAGTTTCCCCACAAGTGCAGTTTCTCCGGGAAACTGGACGTCGCTGCCTCCCGCGAGGGGAATCCTTTAGACCCGGCGTCGGACCAGTCTCTTCGGCAGAGAAGTTGTGGCACAAAGAGCCGGTGAGTCCGGGAGGCGGTGGCCGCGCCCTCCCGCCTCCCGCGCGGCTCTCCAGCGGGTGGGCAACAATTTTACCCGCACTAGAACCGAGAGAATGTGAGTGGGGCAGGTGCTGATCTTTAGGCGAGAAAATTTGAAGTAGCAGTAAGTGAGAAGTGACAGTGTTCCTGACTGCTCTTCACTCTCGCACCTTGCTTTTCCCCGCTCTCTGCATCTAGCATTTGCACGCTTCATACTTCTGGCCAGAAGCATCTTTCCGCCCCTTCTGCCTTGGGTGGCGGTGATTATGTCTGTACTTAACACCTACGGACTAACAAGGGCAGTTTGCTTAGTCTCAGCAGCCCTGGGTTAGGGGATGCCTGAGCTGAGGAAACCTGTCATAATGTAAGAATACTGTAATTTTCTGATGTTGGCATTGATGGAGCCTCTTCTCATCGGGGAGGGTAGTTAGGTATCACTGTCCCCACACTTTTACCCCCCGTGGGGCTTTTCCTTCATCTCAGAGATGAATTGTTAGATTGTTTTGTCAAAGAAACTTAGTTTCCTTCTGTGAGGTTCAGGGCCCGGTGAATGTGAGGTTATGAATCACGTGAAGTTGGCACATCTGCCTGCATTCAAAATAGGACACAAAGTTCTGGATTCCGTTCTCCATCTTTTATAAAAAATTCCATTGTTACCCGTGTGGGGGTAGCTCAGCTGGTTAGAGCAGCATCTGGATATGACAAGGTTGCGGGTTAGATCTGGTCAAGGCACCTACAAGAATCAACCAATGAATGCATGAATGAAATGAGTAGAACAAGTCTATGTTTCTCTTTTTTCCGTTCTCCAGTAGAGATTTATATTACAAGTGCTTTTTCTCAATGTAAGGTTTGCACACACACTTGAATTCTTAATACGTAGAGCCTAACTATTTGGGTTGGGTTCCCATAAAATAAAAGACACATTTTTCATTTTCACCACTAACTTTATTGACTTTGAGTATGTTGATTATCTCCCTTTATTGGGAGACAAATGTAGAGGCTGTGGGTAGAGGCTGGGATGCTGCTAAAAATCTTCAATGCATAAGACAGCCCCACAGCAAAGAATTATTCTGCCAAAATGCCAATAGTACCAAGAAACTTCCCAAACCACTTTTGACATGTTTAATCAGTCACAGCACCTTCTCCATACACTGCACAAATCTTTTTCTGCATTTCAGTTGCATTTTTACCTTTCCTCAAATAATAAAGCATAATATGCTGCAAATGCTACAGATTTTCTATCTTCAATATTAAAATGGCTGCACAAAAATTCACCAATTTTGATTTTTTAAAAAATGATTTTACTTATTCATTTTTAGAGAGGGTAAGAGAGGGAGAAAGAGAGGGAGAGATACATTAGTCTGTGGGTGCATTTCATGGGCCCCCTGCTGGGGACCTGGCCTGCAACGCAGGTATGTGCCCTACACTGGGAATCCGAAGTTCACCTTTTGGTTTGCAGGTAGGCGCTCAATCCACTGACCCACACCAGCTAAGGCTGATTTTTTTTTAATACACACTGTTATGACAGTTGTCACAATACAATTTAACGAACTTGGTTGAATAAAGTTAAAGACAGCTAAGCACTATTAGAGCCATCGTATGAAAAAAAAAATGTAACGGACTTTTTGGTCTATTTAATGTTCTGAGAAATGAGAGCCTGAGTTCTGTGTGTTGTTAGGTCACAATGAGGGAAAATGTTTTGAAAGTGAGTTCCAAGGGCTGTAAAGAGAGAGTTTTTGCTAACGAAAGTAGGCCCTAGGTTACTCGGTTCCTTTGTTGTGATTCTGTTTTGGAGGTTGCAAATCCTAGCTTCTCTAATTTAGTACTGTTTAACTTCTCCATTTTAGTCATGTTTTTCCCCATCTCAGTGAAAATAAATATTCATGTTCCTGGGCTTTTTGGAACAGGGCCTCTTGGAACAGGGCCTCCCTATAAATGTTGATGGTATACCACATTATGTTCACATATTTTCTTGTCTAACTTATAACTGAAAGCTAGAAAGACATATAAATAGGGATCACAAAGTAATCTCTTCCCCTTGATATTTTGTTAAGTTATATAGTAAATGGTAGAAGGATCACTGGGGAGTCACAAACTCCTTTAGACCTAGGTTTGTTTGTAAAATAAAAGGCTAAATCTTTGAATTCACTTATGTGATTGTGAACTATAGCATGTGAATCTTGGATAGGCCCGTTATACTTGAGGAAGTAGCTATCATAGTTAACATCTTTGTGTAACCAATTATGCACTGTTTCATTAGCTAAAACATTTATCTTTTATACCCCTTGAAGATGCAGGGTAGTGAAGATGGTTAAGGTCAAGTGGTTTTTGAAATATGTTGTAGAAAGATCTTGTGCTTGAGTCAGAGAAACCTGGATTTCTGCTACTTATTAGTAACTGTATGCACGTTACTATGGAAACAAGCTTACAGGCGTTATGGAAAAAATGCTTCCATATGTAAAGTGCCTGGAATATCCTTATGAGATATTCATTAATGAATATTAGTACCTTTCTTGTTGCAAAGGACAAGTGAAATGTCTTCTGGAAAACTAATATTGAAAATGTTGGAAAATATTTAAAAAGCTATATAGCTGAGTAAATTCCAAAGTAAGGTGTTAATAAATGGAAAAACATGAAAAAGACTACCGTTCCTACTGTGTAGGACAGTCTTATTTTTATTCTTTATTTAGTTATGCCTGGGTTTGAAGAATTTTTATTAAGTTTCATATTAGATTTATGTGACACTGAAATTCTTTTCATATTGAAAGACTTTTAGAGAGACTATATCCTATTTGAGAGAATCACTTACAATTGGAAATAATCTGATTAGTTTGAATCAAGGCTAATTCTACATGAATTAATAACGTATACGGATAGTTTCTGCTTGAATGGCATCATCAACACTATTCAGTGGATATCTTTGTCTAGATTACAAGCCAGGAGGGAAAAAAAAGCTATGTAGCAAATGATCTAGCACATGATCAGGTAATACCATTTCTTACTTGAAATAATTTACAATTCTAAAAGCCATTTCAAATACCAAACCTTCACTTTATATATGTTTGTTAATTTGTAATATCAGAAAACCTATCTTTTTAAAATATTTCAGTATAAGATTACTACAAAGTAAATGACAAACTGCATTGTTAGTGGATTTGTATTATTTAATTTGTGCTTTTTTAGCTGAATGAGTTTTTCCCCATGTAGTAAAATGTATTTATTCAAAATAGGAGAGGTACAGTACTTTATAATTTCAAGGACATTTTTATATTAAAAATGCTAATTGTTTGGCTTAAATTGGAAAGGGTTTATTTAATACCCCAACAAGGAAATTCATAATCAAGACTAAAATCTTACCCATATTACTATATATTTCTAATTACACATTATTTTAAGCTTGTATATTTTAAATCATGGTTACAGAATTATTGTACAGGAATATATTAAATGTATATACCTTATTATTTGTATTGGACTTTTGGTGTAATTCTCTAATTTCAAAATAGTATCGTGATATGAAACAACAAAACTGTTTTTATTCTGATAAAAAACCAAGCTGTGAACTGAATCTTTCATTGTTGTTGTTGTTTTTTTTTTTTAAAGAACGCACCTCTTACAAGTGTTCAATATCATATAGTTAGGAAATCATTATATTATTAAAACTTGAATTTTTTCTTAAACTATACCCTAATATTTTGAATACATATGTGTTTCAGGACACTTGCAACTAACTTACAAATTGTGATGATATTTTGACTATGAAATTAAAAATAAATGAGATCTTCCAAGTAAATACATTTCCAAATCATATTGTCATTGCACAGTGAAACTGTTCTCTGAAGACTGAAAGTTCTGCTTCTTTGGAAAAGTCAATGATTAGGTCTTTATAAGCAGTTGAGGTTCTGTTCTCCTTCTAAACGTTCTTTTACTAATTTTTCCAAAGAGAAAAGATGCTCGTCTGCTTCTTCTGGCACAAGGTTCCTAATAGAATTTGCAAGTTCAAAAAGGTATTCTGTATTTCTTCCACTTGGACCAGCGGCATTAAAAATTTGTTCAGCAATATCTTCCAGAGGTGCAGGACCAAGATAATTAGGATTATCACATGTTCCAATATATAGCAACACAGTGAATGGTTTTGTAGTGGGATCTTTTGGGTAAAAAATGACTGTTGTGGTCCTGTAGCCTCCTTTCTCTCTGAAGTCAAGGTATGCTTTTACTTCTTCTTCCTTTCCTACTGGCAGTTTGTAAGCAACACCCCATACACAACCCTATTGAAAAATGAAAATAATATATTATTTATGATTTACAAGGCTAAAGCAGGTAAAAGTATGTGTGATCTAAGAAAATATCATGTATATTCTTAGAAATCAATGCAATTTCCTTTACTTAGTGCATTGAAGAGATACATACTACACAATAAAGGAAATCATCTTAAATTCTTCAACATGAAAAAATTATTTCCTTGCACAGCAGGATAATTATCTTTGTTTTTTAAATTTTTGAAAGTATGCATTGTATTTAATGAGATGGAATTGAAAAAAATAATAGGTCTTTATTTGGTCATTAAAACTATAGTTCTAAAAATTTAAATCCATCAGCATTTTACTAATGGTAAAGGGCAGTAGTTTCCAAATTGCTGCATTCGAGTGTTACAGCCACCCTGGAGTTTACCTCAAAGGCTTTCTGGATATGACTGTTGGGGTGCTGGCATGGAGGGTTTGGACACCCCAACCCCCTCCCTACAGCTAGGAGCTGAGCATCACTTATCTTTTCATGTATTACGTATTACTTTTTTTTTTTCAGAAAGGGTTCTATGTTTTAAAAGCTCTGTAGTAAAGTAATAAACTACTTAAGGCCATATTATTTGTTCCTCTCCTCACTGCCTAAACTTTGAAATATCCTTTGTAAATATCTCCACCCAGAATACTACATGACAACCTTTCTTTGTCAAGGGAGCCCAAGAACAAAGTGTCTGTAAAAATAATGTACTTCAGCTGCAAATATTTTTTTTAGTAATAATAAAATATCTGTGGAAAGATGAAAAGCTGATAGAATCAAGATGGCATAGGTAAACACGGCACACACCTGCTACATTAGGCAATGCTACCAAGACAGGGAGTCATAGCAGCTCTAACTAATACAGAGAAACAAACCATATAAAAATTACAAGTAAAATATAGAACAGCCATCACTCAGAACCATCAGAAATCAAGTTCAGTGTAAGTCTGACAAGTACAGAATTAAAGAAATCACATCCATTAAGACTGGTAGTGGGGCAGAGACATGGAATGGGCTGGTCTCACACCCATGTGTGGTGGATAAAAATTCAGGAGGGATATCTTGGGAACAAGGAGTCCCAGACCCATACCAGGTCCCCCAGCCCAAAGTTCTAGTACCAGGAAGATAAGTCTCATAACTTCTACCTGCAAAAACCAGCAGGGATTGAGTGGGTGGGAGAAACTCCTGGAGTCCCAAGCAGTTCTCCTTAAAGAACCTACACAAGGGGCTAGGCTCATTCCCTCTGAGCTCCAGCAACAAGGTAGCAGTTTGAAAGGCACCAGTGGCATACAGGGAGGAACTGAAGTGTCTGGCATCAAGGCAAGAGCTAGGGAACAACTTTGTCCTAGACATAAAGGCAGGCAGAAACCATTGTCCCTTTTCTGAACCCTCCCCACACAGAGCCACAGAGTAAACAGGTCGGTGCCATATCTGAGAGTCCATCAACCTGGCTAACACTGTCTGCCCCGCCCTGGAGATCCCCTGAGATTCCGTTCCCACTCAACTTAAGGGGCCACCCAAGCTGTTAATAGTGACTTTTCCATATGAATGGCTGGTCTTGGCTTATGCTTTACAACTTCCAAAATCCTATCAAACAAGCAACAGCTTGCCTAAGTGAGCCCCCAGCCTCCATACCTCTTGCTGTGTGGCCCCAGGCACTACACTAGCAGCAGCCAGCCTAGATTCACAGCTTGGCTTCACCTGGGGATCTCTAAGCACAGCACAAGTGGCAGCCATCTCAGGTTGTTTTATAGCTCATGCAGGGTGACCCCAGGCAGAACACAGGTGCGGGCTGACCTTGGCCTGCACCACCTGGGAAACCCCAGGGCTTGCACAGCCCAGCCAGTGGACAGCTATAAACCACATCAGAGCACCACCACCCTGCCCCTGCTGATCATCCAAGGAGGGTGGAGGTTGGTGGTCAGTGGTCACAGGCAGTCCTTGCAGCTGACTGGCCTGGGTAAATCCTCCCTTGACCTGAAAACAGCACTCAAGGCTCAACTACAAGAGGAGGGTGTACTCAGACCACACGAAGAGTGCACCTTGAGTACCCAACTTGGGTGATAGGGGAGGTGGTGCCACTGGACTGTACAGGACACCTGCTACATTAGGCAATGCTACCAAGACAGGGAGTCATAGCAGCTCTACCTAATACACGGAAACAAACACAGCGAGGCAGCCAAAATGAGGAGGCAAAGAAACATAGCACAAATGAAAGAACAGATCAAAACTCCAGGAAAAAAACTAAACAAAATGGAGATAAGCAATCTATCAGACGCAGAGTTCAAAACATAAGGATGGTCAAGGAACTTAGTGAGGAACTCAACAGCATAAAAAAGATCCAGTCAGAAATGAAGAATACACTAATGAAATAAAGAACAATTTACGGGGAAATAACAGTACAGTGGATGAAACTGAGAATTAAATCAATGATTTGGAACATAAGGAAACAGAAAACAAGCAATCAGAACAAGAAGAAGAAAAAAGAATACAAAGAAACGAGGATACTATAAGCAGCCTCAGGGGCAACTTCAGGTGTTCAAACATTTACATCATAGGAGTACCAAAAAGAGAAGAGAAAGTAAGAAATTGGAAATCTATTTTAAAAGAATAATGAAATTATTTGGTGACGGAAATAGACATGCAAGTACAGGAAGAATAGTGAGTGCCAAACAAGATGGATACAGAGGCTCACTCCAAGATGCATCATAATTAAAATGCCAAAGGTTAAAGAGAGAATCTTAAAAGCAGAAAGAGAAAAGCAGTTACCTACAGGGAAGTTCTCATAAGACTGTGAGCTGATTTCTCAAAAGAAGCTGTAGGCTAGAAGGGATTGGCAAGAAATAATCAAAGTCATGAAGAGAAGGGACCTACAGCTAAGATTGCTCTACCCTGCAAAGATATTTAGAATTGAAGGGCAGTTAAAGAGCATCCCAGGCAAGAAAAAACTAAAGGTATTTATCATCACCAAACCATTATTCTATGAAATGTTAAAGGAAATTATTTCAGAAAAAGATCAAAACTATGAACAATAAAATGGCAATAAATACATATCTATCAACAATTGAATCTAAAAATCAAACTAAGCAAACAAGAACAGAGACAGAATCATGGATGTGGAGAGTGTTTTGATTGCCAAATGGCAGGTGGGTATGGGGGAATGGCTGAAGAGGTGAGGGGATTAAGAAGTACAAATGTATTTACACAATAGCTATGGGGATGTAAAGTAGAGCATAGGACACAGAGTAGCCAAAGAACTTAACACACATGGCCCATGTACATGAACAACAGTGGGGGAATTGCCGAGGGAATGGAGGATGTTGGGTGGAGGGGGGCAAAGGGAGAAAAATTGGGACAACAGTAATAGCATAACCCATAAAATGTAATTAAAAAATAAAAATATCTGATATAAGCAAGATTTACAGTTTGTAATACATAGTTTCTAGTTTCTTGACAACCTTTACTTATTAAACTTTACATTGCTATTGTCTTCTTGAATGAATTAACATTCTGTAGAAATAGAGTGCCACTTATTAGCTTTTTAGTTAAGAGTTATAGTTACTAGTTTAAAGCCATTTTTATAGATGCTTTTCCTAATGTAAATTATGGAAGCATTTCATAATTTTACCATTAATCATCTGCTGTTACTAGCTGCTGATTTTTGTATATCAAAATCCTTTCTAAAGTTAAATCTTTAACTTTTCAGTATAAAACTTTGAATCTATACCTCAATTAAATGACTGAAAATATTTAAGAAACAGAGAACTATGGAGTAAATAAAACTTTTCTAGTGCTTCAAACCTGTTAAAAAACCTGTTGTGCTATTGATAAATTTAGACAATAAAGAAGGTAATCTTTCCTGCCTGGGAGTTTTGCTGAAAATATTAGACTCCTAGCAAATGTGTGGAGAGCTTTAAGGGTTCCATTTGATTCTTAGTGGTACCTGGGCTGGATCCATTCATGTCAAAGAGGACTACAAAATACTCAATCAATAAACTCATTAAGAAAAATAAATGAGACTACATGCCATTTGCTCTTCTTTTGTTCTTCTACATTCCAACTTTTTCTAACAGGTGAATACAGAGAGGTATTCTAGATCTAGTGCAGTTCAAATCATCTCTAATGACTTAATACAATTTCATTTATTAAAACTGAGAAGCATCTCAACAACTTATATGATTAAAGACTATAAAAAATTTATACCATACCCCAGGATCTTCAACAAGAGTCACAACTCTTCCAGGCTGTTTTAAAAAAAGTAAAAAAAAAAAATAATAATTTTTTTTTGTTGTTGTTTTCTGAATCAAAGTTCATCAACTAACCAAACATTAGCAATTGACATGGAATATTTTAACTTCATTTGCTCATACTAAAAGCTTTTAAACGTTTTACAATAACTTCTAAGGTGAATTAAGTAAAAGAATCCACTTTATCTTGGCCTTTCTAAGCCATTTCCTTCAACTTGTATGTATTAGGTAGATACTATATTGACTTAAATGGATATATTAAAAAACACACCTGTGACTAAGGCTCATCTGAAATGAAAGGCAGAAGGAAGAAGCAGTTATAAATAAAAGTTTTGGTCATTTTTCTCCTTAGGAAAATAATAACACAGAAAGTTTATTAGAGAAGAAAACATGGCACTCCAAGATGGCTTTTTGGGAACATTTTTATAGGGAAGTGGTTCTTAAACTCAAGGTCAAAATTACTTGGAGGGCTTGATAAACACATTGTTTGAGGGCTTGATAAACACATTGTTAGGTCACACTCTGAGAGTTTCTGACCTGAATCATTCCTACCTGGTGCCAAAGGTTATATGTATGTGCATGTTAACATCGTTAGTGAGAATGTTGAGTTGTAAACCACAGTTTTACTTACTTGATGCATATTGTGCAAGGATGATTATTGATATCATCCTTGTTGCTGTTTCCTTCTAGCGTTTGTCTACTTGTGTAGGTAATTTGCTGAAAATGGAATCATGGAATATAAGGGATTTTTGGATTTTGTTTATTTTCCTGTTAGTCTTCTCATACATTTTAATAGTTGCATAATATTCTATAATCAATGAAGTATAAACATTCCTGTGTTTATATTAGGACATATAGATTTGATTTGTTTTCTACTTAAGATAATGCTACAATGAGAATTTATATAGTGGTGTGGGTCATGTGGGTATTGCCATAATACTTACAATTTCCAAGTGAATTAGCTATTTACTGAATATATACTCTGTGTTGTAGAGAAGATAAAACTTTGATTCTTACTTCCAAGAGATACTGTAATTCTGGAATAAGTTCACATGTGAATAGATAGAGAATACTTAATGGCTAAGATGTATGGTATTAAGTGCAATAAGAATTTTGGGTCTTGAGTGGTTAGAATGGAACATAAAATTCTGGCAAAAAGGCACTGCAATTCCGGAGTGAGGGCCTAGAGGCAGAATTCTACCACGTCACGTGTCTGACTTTAGCAAAGGGTCCCCTATGTAGAGAAGATGATTCAGAAAGATAATTGGAGAAATAGGACAGAAGTCAGCTTTGAAAAGCCAAAGAGTGGAGTTGAAATTGGGGGACAGTGGGAAATAAGCTGCTGAAATTTGGGAGAAATAGGAAATATGCAGCTACTCTAGAATATGAGTAGGTGATTGGCATGATAAAAGCAGTGTTTTGGGAAGATCATTGTGGTAAAGTGTATAGTACTGCAGAGTAGAGTGGGAAGGAGGTGGATTCTCAGTAAGAAATGTTAGTGGTCCAGGTGACAAGTTCTGTACTGCACCCTTCTTTGCCTCCCTTTTACATCCGGCCAAGTCACCAATTTTTGATAGCCCTGTCTTCTGATTCTCTTTTGCATCTGGTTCCCCTTCATCCTTCAGTGGCTTTCTGAGGGATCTCACTGCCTGCTTCTAGTTTTGCTCCCCTTCAGTCTGTTCTCTACTTGGGCCTAGAATAACTTTCTGTGCAAAAATTGGGCCATTCCTGTGCTTTGAATTTTTCAGGGTTATATTCTACAGGATAAAAAAGATCCCTTAGCATGACTTAACCACAAACCTAATTTCTTACCACTTTTCTCCTCAAACTGTACCGAATCATTTATAACGTTTACAAACATTTGTATCTTTGGATGTACTGGTCCCAGTGTGGAATGCCCTTTCTTCTTTTATATTTCTGTGATATTCTTCTGCCACATTCTCCATTAAGGCTTGGGTGACTCCCCAGGTGACTGCAACAGTAGCTCTTCTCCTAAACTCTCATCGTATCTTTTATTAATTTCCATTAGAGTACTTACCAAGCATTGTTCTTTGCATAGGTGTCCCCTTATATGTAAGTGCTCAGTAGTAATTGTTGAAAGGAGGAGGAGGGGTAATAAAGTCTTGGATTTAGGTGGTGGCAGTTGAAACAGAAAGCAGATTATATAGAGAGTCCTCTTAAGGGAAAAATTAATGAATCCTTGTTACTGCTATGGATGAAAGACATAGACTGCTGGCAATACTGACATATTTACTAGGAAATATTTTCTAAAACTTGTTTGTCCCTAAAATGTAAATATATGTTATAGAGAAACAATGTAAATTTGTAAATCTACTTAAATGCTTTTTGGGGAGGATTGAGACTGAAGGAGGGGTCTTTCCAGCTGAATGGAATTGGAGGACGTGTCATATGGGTCATGAGGGTGCTTTCCTTGGGTAATGAGTAATGTTTCTGATCTAGAAAAGTTAGAGATTTAGTAAATGTTCATGATTATCTTGTGTTAAAATATTTCCTCTTTTTTGAAATGGAAATTTATATTTTCTCTGATGTAAAAAAATTTTCACATTTAAATAAATCTTTAATTTGATGAGAAATTGCCAGTTTGTTATATATAAATGAGATGCTTGATGAAGCAGTGAAAAATTAAAGTTTAATGAAGCCAGAAAGAAAGCATAAGTTAATAAAGCAAGTAGGTTTGGTATTTTTCCTACAAATAGCACATTGCAGTATGTGGAAATAAGTTTACAGTTTGTTTAATAATATTATCTTTCATACATAATAATGACTAACTTACTAGGAGCATATGTTGCTGTAAAAAACATAGTCCTATATAGCGTCTATGTCATTCTTTTAATTTGCAGGATATTTCTGTAGGCTTTTGCATTCTTGTTTGTCAGACAGTTAATATTTACCTAAGGTTGGTGATCCATTATAATGAAAAATGTGAAGTAAATAATGTTTTTTCCAGTTTTTTTTTTTAAACAGGCTATTATACTTAGAAAATGTTTGGTATTTAGACTTTTCTTTAATTTGCTATGATGGATTATTTAAATAACAGTAGGTGTAAAGGTATTACAGTTAAAAACTATTGCAGTCCCCCCCAACTTTCCTGCTTTATCTTTTAGTAAACATAAGTGAAAAGAGAGATACTGGCTTTTATAGCTCCTTTCTTTTAAAGAACCATGTTATATTGACTTGACAATTTCTTATCAGTCTGTTCTCACAGTGTACATATCTCAATGTACTGAATAGCAAATGTGTACATTTTGGTTGAGACTAGAGTAGTAAAATATGCTATTATAACCTTATTCATAGATATTTAATACTTGGTCATTAAGCCCTGATCTGAGTGACTCGGTTGTGCACTGTCCTGCAAAGTGAAGGGTAAGTTCTGTCAGGCCACATACATGCCTTAGTTGTGAGCTGGTCCCGGGGGCTTGTACTAGAGGCAACTGATTGATGTTTCTCTCTCTCCCTTTCCCTTGTTCTTAAAATGAATAAGTAAATAAAATCTTAAAAAAAATCATTAAAACTGGAGGCTTGGCTAAGGCTTTTCTTTTCAGAATGGCAGTATTAATTGTTCATAGCTGACAACTCAAAAGGCATTTTATTTAACTTGGTTCCTTAAAGTCTTAAATATTATTTTATAAACATTCTTAGAGATACTTTGAAGTTTCTCTGTAAGTGTACAGACCTATAAATGTGCATTTGCTCTAACTCACTCCTCTGTTTTCAAGTCTTCTATTTACCTTAAAGCCAAATTCTTAATCAACTCTAGTTGAGATAGAATGGCTTCTAACTCAGGTTCTTTTTGAGATTTTAATCCCATGTCTCTTATGAGCAGGTGCAAACTACTGTATGGCCTTTCTCTCTTCCTCTTTCCACTACTGCAGGTGTTTCTTTGGAATTGACCCTAATTTCTCTCTACAACAAATTTCTAGCATTTTAGATTTGTGCTTTTGGGCCAGTATTAATCTTTTTAAAAAACAGCAATTGAACTCATATAACTTTCAGAGTATTTTAGAGAACTTAAGCAATAAAAAATGTTAAACTCTTCCAAAAGTTTAAACTAATTAAAACAAGTGTTCGAGTTGTCTGAATAGTTACCCCAAACTAAATATTATTTATGGCTTATTTGTTTTACAGCCAGTACAAGGCTGATTTCCATACGCAGTGAGCTGCGACTAATTTTCTGTACAAATATATTGAGATGGATGTCTTTGGGTGACTGACTGAAAAATGGATCAAAGGACTTACATTTCATATTTGTAATTTAGAGAACCATCGAGAAACATTAAAATAATGGTGGATATAGTAATGGATACTGTGTTACTCAAGTAACAAATTGGGAACTGATTTACTGTAACTTTGCTAGTACAGTACTTGACAACCAAAGTGATCAAAGTAAGCTCTTTAATAACCCGAGTAATTTTGGAAACTAGTTCTTCTCTGACCGCAGGTGTCATAAAATAAGCCTTTGGGAAGACATTAAAGAAAACCCAGAAATAACACACGTTTAAATTCAAACCAGTCAGAATCTGCCAAAATGCAGAAGTGTCAACAAATTTAATTGCCAAAAAGCTGAATTTGCAAGTTGACATTAGTATTTCGACTCCGTGGTGACTCAAATGTTGATATCCCCGCCAGGTTGTTTTTTTTTTTTTTTTTTTTTTTGGCAGAGGTACCCAAGATAGGGGGCCCCTTGGCAGCCTTTCAGCCTTGTGTGAGCTTGTGTGCTTGTCCCTGCGTTTCCTGCCTGCTCAAGAAACTAACCGCTACAGTCTCAAGAGGATATTGAAGGAGTACCCCAGGTTTGGGAGAGGTGGGAGTCCCGTAGCTGAGGAAGACCTTGCACAGATGTAACAACATTATCCCTAACTGACATACTTGGCGCTGGGAAGCTTTAGGGTGTGGGTCCCACAGAGATGGGCCAGCCGGTGGGGAACAGCACACTGGGGACAATAAGTGTAGGGCACTGACTTGTGGCTCACCTTGCCGGGGACTCCACGGTGGTCTGTACTTCCTTGCCAGAAGCGCCTGCTGTAGCCTGTGATGCATCCGACCAGCTTGTCCTGATATGGGAAATCCACCTTCCAGATCAGTGACCCGTAACCAAAAACCCACATTTTTCGCCTGCACCTTCACCAGGACAGTGGCGGGAGTGCCGGCCGGGTCCGCCGCTTGTCCGAGGCGAGTTACCGGCTGAGCAGTGCGCAGGCGCGTTACCTGGTGGCGCAAAATACTCTGGGACTTGAAGTTCGAGGTCCGTTTTCCGGCTCTGTCTTGGTCAACATTATTTTATTTTCTCGCTTAGAAGCATTGATCTTCAGAATGCTAAACAAAGATTCTCCTGCAGCCTCCGTAAACCACATTAACCTTCCTCTGGTGCGCGTGTGCAGAGGACTGCAATACCCACAATCCTTTTCTGGGATTTGTGGCTCTGAGGTTGGAACTGTCTGCTTTTTTTCGAACTGGGGTAGGGTAAGGAGAAGGGAAAGGACAGGAGTCCTGGCTGGTGTCGTCTGGGTACCGAGAAGAGAGATATGTGTGTGGCAGTTAGCACGTAGAAGGACATTTTGTTCGGCTTTGAAAACGGAATTTCTTCTCATGTAACAGCAGCCATAGGAACGCAAGCTGGGAATGCAATCTGTATTTGACTTTATTCACACTTTTAAAAATCATCTGCCTTTCAAATAAAAACAGGAAGTTTATTACAGAAGTTTTATGCTTATGAAAGTTATTAATGCAACGAAGTTTGCTTATGTATTTAAAGTTTACACGCAAAACGACCTTAATTCGTCTTTAGTATTCTCAGTAGCTTTCTTAGAAAAGAGTAGGCAAAGGTTCTCAGCTCATGTAGAGGCGTTGGAAGCTATCTGGGGAACCTCTTGAAATTGTATACAACGTTTGGGCGCTACGTGCATTTTTCTGAGAAGAGATTTTTTAGATTTCATGAGTTTCCCCAACAGGTCAAGGATCCTACAAAATGTTAAAATCTGGTTAGAGCTAATATCACGGCTGTGTTTCTGTGTGTGAAAGTAAAAGAGTTATCAAATGATTGTTCTTTCCTGAGGATTTCTAACTATTTCATGGTCTTTAGCTTTATAAAAAAGACTAAAACACTCAGGTTCAAAGAGTATTACTTGTGCTCTTAAGAAATCACCAGGAAACTTCTACAATGAAAAACTGAATTTAAGAATAACATTGGTTTTATATTTTGTCTTAAGTTGTATTTTTACATTGCCTGAGATGGTTAGTTTCCCTCCACTTCCCCCTCCCCGCCAAACTTTTTTGAAAAATTTCAGACATACAGAAAAATTGGAGGTTAGGGGGTGGAGGGATCTAGTAAAAAGGAGAAAGCACTCAGGGTCATGGAAAAGAGTGTGGTGATTGCAGCGGGGAGGAGGCTATAAGGGGTTAAATGGTAATGGAAAAAATACAAAAAAAATTTAAAAACTTTCAAACATACAGAAAAGTTGGAGGAAAAAAAAAAGCGTAGTGATCTTTCGTATACCCTCAATGGGGATCCAATAACATGTTTGCCACAGTTTTATTTTTTTTCTCTGTATATACTGTTTAATCTAAAATATTTGAGGTAAGTTGTATGTGGTATGATTTTTCACTGCTAAATACTTACAAGAATAAAGACATTATCCTAATAACCACAGTGCCATTCATGATCACATCTAAGGAAATTAACTAATTACATCATCAAATATCTATTTTATATCCTGATTTCCATAATTATCTCAAAATTGCTTTTGTAGTTTTTTTCCCCCACCAATCCAGGATCCATTTGAGGTTTACACATCACATGTGGTTGTACTCTTTTAGTTTAGCACATAGGAAAGTTTTTCTAAAAGGAGATCTTATAAACACTTTATTCATCTTAACTAGTTGGTACTAAGGATTGAAGGGGATGATCCTGCTATTATAGGCCATTACTTTTGACTTCTCCTTCCACTAAGAAGCTCAAAGATATTGCCCAGTTGTGATATTTTTTTCCAGATTATTGACTGTTAATCTAGATCCATTAATATTGTTCCTAATTGTGAGAAAAGTCAGTAAAATTTGGAAAAAGATGCATACCTGTTTTTACTTGAATGTTGTTTTTAATGTCTTTGGAATAGGGTTATTGTTTGTGTCTGTTTTTTCTATGTAGGAAATGTTTTTTTCTTATATTAGATGAATATGCTTATAAATTGCCTTAAAGTGTGTGTGTTTGTGTGCATGTGTTTGTGTAACTTGGATGTAATGAGAAATTAGCATGGTTCAAAAAAGTATAGTTTAACATTTAAGATTCTCCACAGTTTGGCTTCAGTTATCTCTATAATCTCATTTTCCTGTTGTTTTTTGTTTACCTAATCCTCCTTACAAAGTGAAATAATTGTTCCCGTCATCTACCGTCCTTTCCTTTACTCACCCTTGCTTGTTCATTTCTGTGAGTTTGGTTCTGTCTTTCCTTCTGCCCATCGTGAAACCCTCCCTGTCTTTCTCTTAGCCCAGCTCATATCCCTCACTGAATTGAAGTAGTTCTCTCTTTTTTGACTGCCATGGTTCTTTATACTTCTCTTACGGCACTTTGTGCTTTTTTACTTTGAATCACGTGTACTTATCATTTTTATGAGACTGTACATAACGAGATAGAATCATATATTTATATCCTCTCTATTGCTAATCATTTAGTTTGTGCTCAGTAAATAACTGAATAATTAAATTATTTTAAAGATTATATTTATTTATTTTTAGCAAGAGGGGAAGGGAGGGAGAAAGAAAGAAAGGGAGAGAAACATCAATGTATGGTTGCCTTTCACATGCCCCCAACCAGGGAGCTGGCCCACAACCTAGTCATGTGCCCAGGCTCGGAATTGAACTAGTGACCCTTTGGTTCACAGGCCAGCACTCAATCCACTGAGCCACATCAGCCAGGGCTGAATAATTAAATGTTTTGTAATAAATATCTTTACTTTCCTAATAATGGCCTAGTAGATTTGATCAAATTAATCCATTGCTACCTTAGCTGTTTGACTCATTGTACAATCAACTTCTGCAGTTACAGCTTTATATTTAAATGTAAGTTTCAATTTTATATGGGAAGTACTTTGTGCTTGTTTAAAACCTATTCTCTCAAACCTTCCTTTTCTGGATAAATTATTTATAATGTGGTTCTATAAAGTTTTTCCCCTGTATCAGACTAGACATGTTGGTATTTTTTGAATTACCTCCTATGATGATTAGAAAAACTAAGAGGAAGGATGAGATCAGAATGCTACTGAGAGGGACCAGCCCTTGGGAACTAACTATTCTGAGAATCCTGAATCTTAGCCCGACCCACCTCACAGTGAGACTAACCAGAAACTGTCTCTTTGAGAATCATATACTGAGAGTTACATTGTACACTTACTTGAAATAAACTTTTAAGGGAGATGATGAGGAAGAGGGCAATATGCTGTGAAGAAATTTCTGGGCTGATGTAGGAAAAGTGGACACATCTATTTATGATGTTCTTTAAGAGTTTTAATATATTCTGTTCGTGTGACTGTTTTGTCAAAGAAAGAGAACCTGAGTGTTTAGCCCCTTCTGGAAAAGACCACCTGGGGCACGAAAACTAAATTTGCTACTTACCTTTGTTCTTTTTTAAAAATTCTTACCTGAGGATATGTTTTTTGATTTTAGAGAGACAGGAAGAGGGAGATAGAGAGGGAGAGGGAGAGAGAAAGAGAAACATTTATTGGTTGCCTCCCACAGGTGCCCTGACTGGGGATTGAATCTGAAACCTAGGTATGTATCCTGATCACAGATTGAACCATAGTCTTTTTGCTGAATGGGGATGATGCTCTAACCAAATGACCCACCGAACCAAGGTTATCTTTGTTCTTTCCATAAATGTCCCTCATTTCTTTTATAGCCTTATTGAGTTTAGCTTTTTGCTGTAAAGGGCTATAAATTAATTCTTGAGGCTGAGCATTGCTGGTCATTAAATGACCATCTCTGTATGCATTTGGGATTAATTGGAGGCATTTAGCTCTCTCATCAACAGAGTTCTAGTGAGTACATTTCTGTGGGGTATGAGTAGGAGCAGAAGCCTGCAGGAAGGAGCTGCTCAGACAACATTGCCAGAGAAAGAATGATAGAACATTTAAAATTCCTTGATGTGTTTGATAAGAACATTTCAAGGAATTTCAGTTCCCCAGAGAGACTTTCTGGGTTAGAGGCAGAGGCTGAGGCATGACAGGTCTATTTCTTCTTCTCAGGCTCTTCCTCAGCAGTTATGTGTGAGAGATGCGAGATGGGCCCACTTCGTTCTGCTAATCTCTAGGAGTTTAGTGTTATTTTATTGACTCTGGTGTTTTCTTTCTGCCTTGTTTTGTAGACTGGTCAAAAGAATGGATTTTACAGAGGCTTACTCTGACACATGCTCCATGGTTGGACTTGCTGCCAGGGAAGGCAATGTTAAAGTCTTAAGAAAACTGCTCAAAAAGGGACTGAGCGTTGATGTTGCTGATAATAGGGGATGGATGCCAATTCATGAAGCAGCTTATCACAACTCTGTAGAATGTTTGCGGATGTTAATTCATACAGGTAAAGTAAATTCAGGGTGTGGGAGGGTGAGCCTCCTAGCTGGATTAATATCATAAACCAGTGGTAATACATGACCTACTTGTTTGCCTTTCTATAACCATAAAATAACTGCCTGTGCATTATTAAGAATGATAGGATTGCTTGCCTCGGGTTGTATGTGTTCCAACTGGAAATCTATAAATGTTGTCTTTTATACGGAAGTGCTTGTGCCTGACACATTTTTATTATCTGAGCTAGGTTTAAGCATTCGGTAGTTACTGGCCATGGTTATTCTTTTTTCTAAACAAAAGGAGCAGTGTTAACTGATATTGAGAGTGTGAGTATTTTGCTTGAATCAATCTTTTCTTTTTTTGAAATACTTTACAGTGTCCTTAATTTGGGGAATCTTTCCAATTACTTTGACTTTGTATTTGCTGAGCGCAATTAGAAAACCTGATGGACAAGTTCCCGGCTTTTATGGTGCTTTTATTCCTTTCAGGAAAACAGACAGTAAATACCTACACAGTTAACCAAGATAATTTCAAAAGGTAAAAGTGTTGTGGAAAACAGATAAAACAGAGTAATGGGACAAAGAGCCCTCATGTGCTACTGCACATTTCCAAGTTGACTTCTTGCTTGTAACTAGAGATAAGTTATATGGGAGTATTTACAATACAGAAATCAGCCAGTGCTACAAACCAGTGCTGTAACTGGGCTTCCCCCCCTTTTCTGGAGCCAGTTACATGTTTACCAGCACACTACTGAGTGAAGGGCTCAGTAAATGAGTCTAAATGGGAGATTCTGACACTCAGGAGACAGGATGGGAAGAGAATTAATGGTGGTGATTGAGCACTGCTTTGTAATAGTCTTGATTTTCATTATTTACCTAATACATACAAAACTGTTATTGAGGCAATATTATTCTCATTTTATTGGTGAAAAAAACCAAGGCTCAGAGAAGTTGACTTGTCATAGGTCATATAATAAACGAGGATATTTGATTTGAACCCATTTCTCTCTGACTCTACAGCCATGTGTTTTTATTTTTGTTTTTTTCACTGTAGCATGTTTCCAAACATTTTATCAAAGTAAACATTTTCATAATTTGGTTAATTTAAACTGAGGTTGAACTCTGTAATAACCCTCAGTGAAACATTTATGTAGATTTCATTGGTCATGGAAATTCAGATTTCTTCTCTGCATACTTCTCTGTCTACCACCAGGTATAACTACTCGAATTTTAGACTTTGGGGGCCATAGCTTATCAGAATTACTAATTCCTTACTTCATGCATGGGAAAGGAAATGATCCTTACATTATTTTTAGTGTAGTTTTTGTTTAAATTTCTTAATTTATTAATCCTTTTGCAAAAAATCTTCACAATCACCACAGATAAAGTCACTGAAGAATCTTTACTCCTTCTATTGTTTCATCTCCAGCTCACTTTTTGCCAGCACCAACAATAACCTTTGCAGTCATCTTGTTCTTGCCTTCCTTTTGCTGTTTTCTTGAGGTCTTCTTCTTCTCATACTGACTATGTCTTTTTTTTTTTTAGACATTTTATTTATTTATTTATTTATAGAGAAAAGGGAAAGGAGGGAGGAGAGAGGGAGAGAAACATCAATGTGTGGTTGTGTGGTTGCCTCTTGAGCGCCCCCTACTGGGGGGGACTGGCCTGCAACTGAGATACGTTCTCTGACTGGGAATATATCCAGTGACCCTTTGGTTCACAGGCTAGCACTCAGTCCACTCAGCCACACTGTCCAGGGCTCATACTGGCCATGTCTTACTAGTCTGTGTTTAGGTTTATTTCTCTTTGCATAATGTAAAGAATCATAAATCATGCCAAAGCCAGTTATCTTGCTACCATCAAAATGGGTTCTGAATCCAAATACAGAGCTGATATCTGGGGTGGTCTTGTACATCTTGGCTAGTTTTTCCTAGATTTCTGTCTTAAGTACTGTTGCCTTCCCAGGGTGAAGGATGGCAATGACCATTTGTTTTGGCTGAAGTACTCTTTTGGCCATGAACTTTCAGGTGCAGATAGTTATGTGCTGTTTGTTTATGATGGCATCCAGTCTCCAAGAAGCCAGGGAGGAAAAGAGTGGTGTGGGGTTTTTTTGTTTTTGCTTTTGTTCTGTTTTAATGGATGAGGAATGGCAAGGCTAAATTCCTCAAATCATAATACAGGAAATTTGTCATGACTGCTGTTTTTTTAAGTCACATGTTCTAGAAATCTATGACCGTTGAATGTTAGAAAGATTAGAATGTTAGAAAGATATTAGAAAAATAGAATCTATGCCTCACATTTTAAAAGCTTAAATATGTTTTCATAATTTGAAGCTAATTCTATAGCTTGTATTTTATTCACTTTAGCTTTGTTTAAAATATTAGTGCAAAAAAATTTGCTTGTCTTTTTTATGGGAAATTTGGTGTAATAACTGAGATTTCAAGAAACTTACTGTGTTGGAGGACAGAAATAATCTTCAGTGGACGTTAATCATGCCATTCATTATTAAACTTTGCTAACTAAATGTCACTTAAAATCTGGTAATTAATTACAGCATATCACTAACAAATATTTCAATTTGGCAAATATATTAATTCATAGTGCTTTAAAAAAATTCTCACCTGAGGATATGTTTATTGATTTTAGAGAGAGAGGAAGGAGGGGGGACATCAAAGTGAGAGAGAGACTTCAGTTGGTTGCCTCCTATACATGCCCTCTTGTAGGAAACGGAATTGAGCGGGTGGTAGTTGATGGGCCAGTATATGATAGATAAGGTCTCTTTGTTTCCCACATGTTAATTAAGGAGGGCAGTTTATCATTGGAACCTGCAAAACCAATTTATATTTGGTCCTGAAAACTTTCTTAAAATGGTATTTGAGAGACTTTTCCAAATTTGTAACGACTGTGACAGTACATAAATATTATAATTCTATTGAACCTCTTTAAGGGTTGGACCAGCTAGTTTACCCTTGTTTTACTGTTAAGGAACCTGCATCTCAGAGAATTTAAGTAAGCTACCCAAAGGGTAATCTGAATAATGACAGGCAGAGCCAGAAGTGTAGCCCAGATCTTCCAAATCCAAATCCTTTGCTTTTGCTAAACCACATTACCTTCCTAGTACAGTGGTTTTAGAGTTAGGTAAATGTATCTATTTTTTGTAGAGGTAATATCTTTTAATATCTCAATTAAATAGTAGTAAATTGCTTTTAATGTTTTTCATTCCAGGTGAGAAGTGCCTTTTCTTTTCTTTACTTCATGGATAATTACACAGGAGGTTTTGTTTCCCTTTCCTAATATGTGTGTGTGCACATCACTTAGAGTGGCCCCTTGCTGAGGTGGGAATTAAGCATCCATCCTCGAGGGGTAATATCTACTACATAAGTTATTTGGAATTTTTCTGATATTTGGAATATATCTTCTCTTCCATTTATTTATTCACTCATTTTTTATCTGCATGGACTTACGGGTATTTTGTATGTTGGGTGATGATCCAATATAATGCTATTTATTTTATTGCTCACACTGTTCTACCTTAGTCATTGGGTGCTCATATTGGCCCCTGTGTTTCTTTGACATGCCTCCATTGTTTGTTTTTTGAGCACTGTTTAATTTTCTGGACCTACAAGACACTCAAGGCTCATTTTGTATATTCTCTGTGCTGGCCCTAGAATCAGCCATTCTCCTACGAGCCCTTGCTCCTTTTATTGGAGAATGGTATTCAAAACCAACATCTGGACACTGGGTGTGCTCATTTATACTGACATGTTATTGCTTTTAAGTCTTTCAGCGGACAGTGCTAGGAAATATGTATTATAACCCCTGTGTATACACATACCTGTTAGTACTTCTGTACCTATCCATCTGCATGTGTATTAAAGGTAAACACAAGTTCATACTGATATCTCGACTCTAATCCAGTATCATACAGTTCATTGTAGTCTTCCATCTTCCTTTGTAACCTCCCTCTCCAACAGTGATAAACCTGGCTCTTACTATCAATCATCCACTTACTGATTCATGGTCTTATTGTACATATATAGTGGTTTCAGAATTGTTAACCTGTACCCTTATAAGAAACAACTTCACCAAGTAGTCTATAGTGTTTGTATATAGATCCTTTTGTCATTAGCCTTACTCTTCCTATTCATATAACATCATTTTTCAAAGTTACTTAGGCCAATAAATTTTTTCTGCACTCTCTCAGTGTGGTTATGTTGTATCTTATAATCCAGTTAGATGCTTTTGTCAGCTTGTATTCTCTCCTAGAACCCCCCTCTGCTCTCTTCTGGTTGAATCTTAAAGTTTTGTGGACATCTGAATGAAGGTCAGCTTCTGACTAATTTGGGAAACGTTGTTTTATGATATGAACTTTAAAAACGTAACTCCCTAGCTTGTCATTTAGTCCTGTATTCTGTAGTGTGAAGCTTTTATCTTTGAGTACTTATGCTTGCAAGATGTTATTTGAATATTATTATGGCTTGTCTGCCAATTTTATCAATGAGTTATAATGGCAAGAGTTACTTGAAAACAGATGATTATTTTAGTCAGGAGCATTGGTTTTATTTTATTATTTTTTAAAATTTAATTTTCAATTACAGTTACGTTCTATATTATTTTGTATTAGTGTCAGATGTATAGCATTAGAAAATTACATACTTTACAAAGTGTTTTCCCTGATATTGCCAGCACCCACTGGGCACCATGCATTGTTATTACAATATTATGAACTATGTTCCCTATGCTGTACTTTACATCCCTGCAGCTATTTGTAACTACCAGTTTATACTTTTTAATTCCTTTACTTTTTTTTACCCTGTCCCCCAAGTCCTTCTCCTACCCCAGCAACCATCAGTCTTTGTTCACTGTATCTATAAGTCCGTTTCAATTTTGTTTCTTCATTTATTATGTTCTTTAGATTCCACATATAAGAGAAATCAAATCGTATTTGTTTTTCTCTGACTAACATTTCACTTAGCATAATACTCACTTGGTCCGTTCATGCTTTTGCAGATGGTAAGATTTCATTCTTTTTTTCTGACTGAGTAATATTCCATTGTTATGTATGTACCATCACTTTTTCCACTCGTCCTATTGATGGGCACTTGGGTTGCTTCCATACTTGGCTATTGTAAATAATGCTACAGTGCACATAGGGTTACATACATTGTTTTGAGTTAGTGTTTTGGGTTTCTTTGGACATACATCCAGAAGTGGTATCATTGGGTAAGAAGGCAGTTCCATTTTGAATTTTTTGAGGACCCTCCATACTGTTTTCCATTGTGGCTGCACCAGTCTGCGTTTTCACCAACAGTGCATGAGGGTTCCGTGTTCTTTACATCTTTGCTGATGCTTGTTTGTTGATTTATTGATGATAACCATTTTGGCAGGTATGAAGCGGTATCTCATTGGGGTTTTAATTTGCCTTTCTCTAATGATTAGTGACATTGAGATTCTTTTCATATGTTTGTTGGCCCTCTGTATGTCCTCTTTGGAAAAGGGTCTGTGCAGGTCCTTAGCCTATTTTTTAATTGGATTTTGCTTTTGGTGTTGAGTTGTGTTTAAGTTTTTTATAAATTTTGGAAATTAACCCCTTATCAGATGTATTGGTGAATATGTTCTCCCATTCAGTGGGTTGTCTTTTCATTTTGTTGATGATTTCCTTTGCTGTGCAAAAACTATTTAGTTTGATTTGATTTTGTCCCATTTGTATATTTTTTCTTTTGTTTTGCCTTGTGTGGGGAGATTTATCAGAAAAAATGTTGCTGTGAGAGATGCCTGAGATTTTACTGCCTGTGTTTGCTAGGAGTTTTATGGTTTGAGTCTTACAGTTAAGTCTTTAATCCACTTCGAGTTTATTGTATATGGTGTAAGAAGATGGTCTAATTCATTTTTTTGCATGCATCTGTCCAGTTTTCCCAGCACCATTTATTGAATAGACTGTCTTTATCGCATCGTATGTTCTTGCCTCCTTTGTCAAATATTAATTGACCATATAGGTGTAGGTTTTTTGTAAGTTCTTTATTCTATTTCATTGACCAGTATGTCTGTTTTAATGCTGTTTTGATTACTGTGGCCTTGTTGTGTAGTTTGAAATCAGGTTGTGTAATACCTAGGAACATAGTTTTAATTATGGTAGTCCAGAAAGTATTATTTAAAGTATTAAAAATTTTTTTTTGTTTTTTTGTTTGTTACAACTCTCAGGAATGCCTTCACTGTTCACCTTACACCCCATCCTTCTATTGTTGATATAGGGTTTTATTGTTTTGGAAGTAAAGATAAAGTCACTTCTCAGTATTATCTTTTGCTGTGGAGTTACAAAATTTTAATGCAGACATTATTTATATAATTTGAAAGCTACCAGAACTTTGAGATTTTTAGTAACAAACCTCAGAAACTTTAAAGTAAATGAATTTTAAGTTCCTTGTAAATTATATATGCTGTTTGATTTCTTTGGAGTGCATTTTATTATTTTAGAAATACAGTCTTCATTAACTGTTAGACTGTAGTCTTATGTTAGACAAGGAAGTTTTTTTGGTTATATTTTGTTTTTTCCATTACATCCTCCTGACTTACTTATTTCATAACTGGAAGTTTGTGTATCTTGAGCCCCTTATCTGTTTTGCCTACCTCCAATTCCTCTCGCCTCAGGCAATCAGTAATCTGTTCTTTGTATTCATAAGTTTTGTTTTTAAGATTTCACTTGTAAGTCACATCCTATGTCATTTCTCTGTCTGACTTATTTCACTTAGCCTAATACCCTCAAGGTCTGTCCATGTTATCACAGCTAGCAAGATGTCATTCTTTTTAATGGCTGAGTGGTATTACATTGTATGTGTGTATGTGTGTGTACATATATACTGCATCTTCATTATCTATTCAATGGACACTTGGGTTGTTTATGTTCAGTGGATAGCTTGGCTGTTGTAAATATGCTGCAGTGCACATAGGGGTGCATATATTTTTTGAATTAATGTTTTTGTTTTCTTTGGATAAATACCCAGAAGTAGAGTATTTTAAACTACCTTACTGATACTAGTTGAATAGCAAGAAGTAATGTTAGAGATGGGAGCATTTCTGTCATGGAAATTTAGAAATGAAAAAGTAAAATTTGTTAATACTTCAGTAAATCCTGTTTAAGCAAATCTTTGATGCCGCATCCTCTTCAGATTTTGCTTTTGTGTTACCTTTCAGCTCCTGCCACTTCCCTTCCCTTGCCCTCCAAAAATTAGAGAAGAGGAAATGAGTGTGTGGGCAAAACTTTTATGTTAAGGGTAACGGAGAGCCGTTCACACCTTGACCTCTGCAGAACTTTTTTTGATTTTTCAGATAGTTTTAAACTACGAGACCTCCCATTTATAATTATGCCTGAATATTTCTTGAAATCTTTGCTTTTTAATTCCAAGAAATAGAATTGACATCTTCTAATTGATAAGGTTTTTTATTCTTTCATAGATTCATCTGAAGACTACATTAGGACAAAGACTTTTGAGGGCTTCTCTGCATTGCATTTTGCTGCAAGTCGAGGACATTGGAAGATTGTACAGATTCTTTTAGAAGCTGGGGCAGATCCTAATGCAACCACTTTAGAGGAAACCACGCCACTGTTTTTAGGTGAGATATACTGTTTATGTTACAGATGCAACTTTTTATTTTTAATTTTTCTTTTGCTGAAAGAACTAAGCTTAATGCCACCCCCCTACCCCTGACCACGCTATTGTACTTAAAGTATGTTCTTTGGCAAATATTATGCTGCCACTTCTTTGATTCAGAGATCAAAAAGGTATTTTTAAAGGCTATGTCCTTGTTTTTTACCCTTGGGTGAAAGCATCTAGGAATATTTTTAAATGTTTATTTAACGTTGTAGAATCTTTTCTGAATTGTTACCATTGTTGTACTCAATGTTGTTCAGAAGACCAGGTAGAATATTTTATGTTTGCATTAAGGTGTTAAGAAGATTTTATGAAAGAAATTACCAACTAATCCTTTAATGCCAGTTAATTTGTTGCTTATATGGATCACTATTCAGACTTCTTCAATTATGGACTATATTTTTGATTCCTTGAGGACAAAAGCTAAGTCCTAAAGGGCACAGTTCCAATACCTGTCTCTTTTTTCCCTTCCCTCCCTTTAATCTTGTCTTCAGGGGCATTAAGTTTAATGGAAGATGAGAAAATTAGGAGAATAAAATATTTGTTAAGAATTAGTATATCTGAACTGGTTTTAGTCCTGCCACATGAAATTTCTATGTTCATTTATTTCCTGAATGCTTCAATTTCCTCACTTATAAAATGAGACTAATAGTACCTACTTAGTCTTTGTTTGGTTGATAATAAAATGAGATGTCTATGAAAGTATTTTTTTCTTTATAAACTTAAAAATATAGATTCTTGAAATTTATGCACAGTGAACTTTATTCTTTTTAGTGTACAGTTATATGGTTTTTATGTATGTATAAAATTGTGTAAAGGCAGAGCAATCAAGACCCAGAACAATTACATCAACCCCCAAATTCTATCATGCTGCCTATTTTCCATCAATCTTTCCTGTGCCCCGCCCCCTGTACCCTTGACAACTACTTGTCTGTTTTTATTCCTGTCATTTGATTTTTTTGCAGAATGTCATAAGTATATGTGGGATATTATGACATGTAATCCTTGAGTCTAACTTCTTTCACTTTCATAATGCTTTCAACATTCACCTTCTATATATCACTGATTTACTAGGTGATGGACATTTGAATTATCAGTGTTTGGTGATTATGAGTAAATTACTAGAAACATTCGAACGTAGGTTTTATTTGAATATAAGTTGTCATTTCCTTTGGATTAATAATTAGGATTGTCAGGTCATGTGGTAAGTGTGTGTTTAACTTTGGAAAACAATTTGGAAGTTTTTTTTAAGCAGAAATTTTATTTCCAAGCTCTTGGAAGATTATTACAAACACAAGTAAAGTATCCTTTTAAAAGTTTTCCGAATTAAATTAAAGATGCGACTAGACTGTGGTGGGACTTGGGGAAGGCAGGCACATGCACAATAGTATTCAAGATGGTAGATTTCCAGTCAAGATGGAGGCATAGGTAGATATACTTTGCCTCCTGACACAACCAAAAGAAAAGACAACAACAAATTAAAAAAAAAATAACCAGAACTGCCAGAAAATCAAACTGTATAGAAGTCTGACAACCAAGGAGCTAAAGAAGAACCATTCATCCAGACTAGTAGGAGGGGTGGAGACAGGCAGCCAGGCCAGAGAGGACACGCAGCAAGGTGGCGGCTGGCAGAGCAGGTGGTCCCACATTTGCGTACGGATAAACCGTGAGGAACAGCTGGGGAGCAAGACAGACTGCGCAATTCAGGGTTCTAGTGCAGGAAAAGAAAGCCTCAGAACCTCTGGCGGTAAAAACTTCTGGGGGTTGCTGTGGCAGGAGAAACTCCCAGCCTTGTTGGAGAGACCCACGGGGTCCTAGAATGTACACAAACCCACTCACCTGGGAATCAGCACTAGAAGGGCCTAGTTTGCTGGTGGGTAGTGGGAGAAGTGACTGAAAGCTGGCGGAGAGCTGAGCAAGCTGCATTGTTCCCTTTCGGACCTCTCCCCCCACATACAGCGTTACAATGCAGTGACCTGGGTTGCCCCATCCTGGTGAATACCTAAGGCCCCGCCCCTCCCAACGTAACAGATGCACTGAGACAAAGAAATATGGTCCAAATAAAAGAACAGATCAAAGCTCCAAAAATAGAACTAAGCAATGAACAGATAGCCAGTCTATCTGAGGCACAGTTCAAAACACTGGTAAATCAGCATGCTCACAGAAACAGTTGAATATGGTCGCAAAGTGGAGGAAAAAACGAAGGCTACGCAAGGTCAAATAAAGAAAAATATACAGGGAACCAACAGTAAAGGGGAGGAAAGTGGGGCTCAAATCAACGATTTGGAGCAGAAGGAAGAGATGAACATTCAACCAGAACAGAATGAAGAAACAATTCAAAAAACTGAGTAGAGGCTTAGGAACCTCTGGGACAACTTTAAATGTTCCAACATTGGAATCATAGGGGTGCCAGGAGGAGAAGAGAAAGAGAAAGAAATTGAAAACTTACGTGAAAGAATAGTGCAAGAAAACTTCCTCTGTTTGGCAAAAGAGATAGACTTTCAACAAGTCCAGGAAGCTCAGAGAGTCCCAAAGAAGTTGGACCCAAGAAAACACACACAAAGGCACATCATAATTAAGTTACCCAAGATAAAAGATAAGGAGAGAATCTTAAAAGCAGCAAGAGAAAAGGGAACAGTTACCTACAAAGGAGTTCCCATAAGACTCTCAGCTGATTTCTCAAAAGAAACCTTGCAGGCAAGAAGGGGCTGGAAAGAAGTATTCAAATTCATGAAAGGCAAGGATCTACTTCCAAGGTTACTCTATCCAGCAAAGCTATCATTTAGAATGGAAGGGCAGATAAAGTGCTTCCCCAATAAGGTAAAGTTAAAGGAGTTCATCATCACCAAGCCCTTATTATATGAAATGTTAAAGGGACTTACCTAAGAAAAAGAAGATCAAAAACTATGAATGGTAAAATGGGGTGGGGGCGAAGAATATAGGAAAAAGTACAGGGAATAAGCAGCATAAAGAGTAGGTAAAAAATAGGCAGGGGAAGGTTAAGAATAGTATAGGAAATGGAGAAGCCAAGGAACTTGTATGTAAAACCCATGGACATGAACTAAGGGTGGGAGGGAATGCTGCTGCATGGGGCGGTGCAGGGTGGAGGGGAATAAAGGGGAGGAAAAAAATGGGATGAGTGTAATAGCATAATCAAATATATTAAAAAAAGTAAAAAAATATATCAAAACTACATCATCAAACTAAAACATGATATTAAGAATTCATTTAGGTGTTAAGATTTTCACATTACTTTGTTTTTAATCATTTGCAATGTTCTGTAAGTCATTTTAAAAGTTTTTCAAAGACATGAAATAATGTATTTATTTAAAAGTACAACCACAATTATAAAATAGAGGAACTTAAGAAGACAAAGATCAGATCTGGTCCACACACAGAATGGGGAGATCTAATACATGACACATTCATCTTACCTAACAAGTTTGGTAAGAAACCTCTTCTCTATATAGTGTTAAAAATAAAAAACCTTCTCGCTTACAAAAATCAAGACAACATCAAGAAGAATGTTTTCTTGAGACTCAGAAGCAGTCATTTGTCATTTTGTGCCTGAAGGCATTCCTTGGCGAACTTCTTTCCAGTGTTTAGAGTGAAGCACAGGATCTGGACTCCCTGAAGGGGTTGCTTCCTGCTGGCACGCCCGCCAGCCTGGCACCCTGGCAGGCATTCTGCATGCAGCTGCCTTTGAGACCTTGGTCCTCTCTGTGGCAGACTCCGGCTTGAGCTGCTCCACAGAGCGCTGCAGGGCATTCACCCTGGCTCCAGAAGACAGGGCAGTGGCGCTGCCGCTTGGAAGTTTTTTGTAAAGCGACTTCATCATTTTATATTCCCTCCAGTAATGTTTTAGGGTTTCAGTTGTCCCACATTTTCACCAACACTTGGTATTGACAAATTTTTCGTCTTTGCTTTTACATTTTAATTTTTTAATAGGGATTTAATTAAGTGGTATTTCATTATGGGTTTTTAAAAAATTTAAAATAAAACTTTTAGATAATTTTAGATTTACACGAATGTTGCATCATTGTGGTTTTAATATGATTTTTCCTGATTTCTAATGATGTTGAACATCTTTTCATGTGATTTATTTGCTATCCTTCCTTTTCTCCCCAATTAGTCTTGTGTTTAGACATTTTGTTTTGAAATAATTTCAGATATATGGAAATGTTCAATAATAGTTCTAAGGATACTTAGTTTACCTTTTAACCAAATATTGTTCTTTTACCATTTTCACTTTATCACCTTTTTTCCCTATCCTGTTTATCCATATAATATTTAACCCTTTGAGATTAAACTGTAGGCATAATTCATCTCTACCCACAAATACTTCTATGTGAGCTTCATAAAAGTAATGAAATCCTCTTATATAACTGTCATGATCAAAATCAGGAAGTTAACATTGATAAAGTGTTGTTTAATCTACATGTCTTATGCAGTTTTGCTAATTATTCCACTAATGTCCTTTATAGCAAAAGGACATTATTCAGGATCCTATCCATGATCACTTGTTAAATTTAGTTCTTATGTCTCTGTAGCCTACTGTAATTTGAAAGTTTTTCAGTTTTTATCTTTTATAATTTAAAATATTTTGAAGAGTTCAGGCCACTTATTTTTAGAATGTCTTTCAATTTGGGTTTTCTAATGTTTTTTTCTTGATAGAGTTAAAGTTATGCATTCCTGGCAGGAATACCACAGAAGTAAAATGGTATCTTAGTTCATCTTATCAGGAAGAATATGACCCATTACTGATAATATTAATATATAAAAGTATTTTTAATATGTGAAATGTATCTTTATGAAGCTGTTTCGTAGAAGCTTTAATGTAATATGGTTTGAGTTTTCCACAGGGGAGATTGCGTTTTTATATAAAGTTTCTTTTTTACCCACATCCACATTTAACCCACTCTGGATATTCTGTACAACAACAGAGTAAATTTTCATTGAGGC